CATTGGGAGGGCCTGCCTTCTGGACTGATGAGTCAGTTGAGCCTTCATAAACACTCACCTGGCTGACTTTGCTTTCCAGGAGGAAGCTGGCTGAAGCAAGGGTGTGGAATTTTAAATGTGTGCACAGTCTAGAAAACTGTCAGAATCAGTTTTCTCATAAGAAATGGTGGAAAAGGACAAGCTAGCATTGCAGCTGCATTTGGGATCATTCAAATCTGTCATTCTCATGTATATTCCTGTGCTATTAAACATATCTGGGCGATGCATACAAACCATCCTGATATATTTAATATATTTATTATATTGTCCCCCGAGGTTGAGGGAGTGAGGTCTCACTGTTAGTCCTCCCAGAGCTGGCTGTTATAGAGCCTGGCACCTACCCCCCTACCCCTGTGTCACCTCTGCAGACTCCAGCCCCCTTTGTGCCTCCTGCCATGAGTGGAAGCCACCCCAGGCCCTTACCAGATGCAGATGCCCAACTTGATGCCCAGCCATCAGAACTGTGAGCCAAATATACCTTTTCCTGTAGAAATTACCCAGCCTCAGGTTTTCCTTTACAGGAACACCAAATGGATGAAACCCCTATAAATGTCCAAGGATACCTTGCCCCACAGCCTCATCCACAGACTACATAGTCACTGCTCAAATTTTTGCCAGCCTGACAGATGAGATAGTAGTATCTCAGTGCCACTTCTCATTATGAGCAAGACTGAGAAGCTTTTCACATGGTTAAGTGGCCTGTACAGATTTTTTAAAATAAGTAATTTTAGAATGGTTTTAAATTTAAGGAAAAGTTCCTAACAGAGTTCCTATGTACCCCCAGTTTCTCCAGTTGTTAACTATACCTTACATTACTATGACACACTTGTGACAACCAATGAAACCATGTGGACAATTACGATCAACTCAACTTTCTTCTTTGGATTTCTTATTTATTTATTTTTGAGACGGAGTTTCTCTCGTTACCCAGGCTGGAGTGCAATGGCGCGATCTCGGCTCACCGCAACCTCCGCCTCCTGGGTTCAGGCAATTCTCCTGCCTCAGCCTCCTGAGTAGCTGGGATTACAGGCACGCGCCACCAAGCCCAGCTAATTTTTTGTATTTTTAGTAGAGACGGGGTTTCACTATGTTGACCAGGATGGTCTCGATCTCTTGACCTCGTGATCCACCCGCCTCGGCCTCCCAAAGTGATGGGATTACAGGCTTGAGCCACCGCGCCTGGCTCTTCTTTGGATTTCATTAGTTTTTCTCTGATATCTTTTGGTTCCAGAATCCTATCCAAGATAACATATTACATTCACTTGTCCCGTCTCCTTAGACTCCTCTGGTCTATGACAGTTTCTTAGACTTTTCTTGTTGATCTTGATGGTTTTGAGGAATACTGGTAAATTCTTAAAGCATGTCCCTCAGTTTGGGCTTATCTGATGTACTCATTTGTTTTTAGAGATAGGGCCTCGCTCTGTTGCCTAGGCTGGAGTGCCATAGTGCAACCTTGACCTCCTGGGCTCAGAGGATCCCCTCACATAGCTGGGACTACAGGTGCACAACACACCTGGCTCTTTTCTTTTACAGACCTGGTCTCAAAATTGCCCAGGCTGGTCTCAAACTCCTGGTCTCAAGTGATCCTCCCATCGTGGCCTCCCAAAAAGCTGAGACTACAGGCCTGAGCCACCGTGCCCTGCCTGTTTTTCATGGTTTTTGTATGGAAGACCACTGAGGTGAAGCATCATTTCCACTACATCGTGCCAAGTGTGCATGCGACTAACCTGATTTATCAGTTTTTGATCTTGGTCGTCTGACTGAGGTAGTGATAGGTTCCTCTATCATGAAACTACTCTTCATCCTCCCTGTTCTGTGTGTACACATGTACAGTGGTTTCAGAACTGTTCACCTGCATCCTCTTAAACTTTACCAACTAGAGTACAGTGGTTGTGTACAGCTCCTTTTGTCTTTAGTCTTAGTTTTCAATCATTTACAAAGGTCACCACCTTTTTTCCTCACAGGCCTGTGCAGTTCTATTCCCTCCTGAAATTGTCATGTTTTGAGATTAGGAGATGGGAGATGTCACATACCTGGTTTCCAGCTTATTTCAAAAAAGTGGCAATTATGAAAACATTGTCATACAGTCCTCGAAGGTAATAATCGGCCGGAACTCTGGGTGGGGAACGTTCTCCCACTTCATTAGGGTCCTCTCCCGGCCTGCTTCCTTTCACTGCTCTCTGTGTCCCTAAGGGCGTTTGGTTTGCAACCCTTGATGAATGGTGGAGCAGGGAAACCAAGTGTAGATGAAATGTGAAGGTTTGGAAGGGCCAGGTGCCCCATGAGACCACTGGTGGGCTGATTTCCCCAGTACTGCTAGCCGTTGAGTCGCTGCCAACAATCTTCCCTGCATTTCTATTTATTGGTTTCTTAAAAATAAAACATGGAAAAACAATCAAAGACCTGGCTGTCACTTTCAGATTTCTGTGCTGTAGTAGCCAGTTGTGGATGAACGTTATCCAGAAGTGACAGATGTAGCAAATGCCAGAGGTAAAGACAGGCCAGTGTGTGGTATAATTCACTGCTCCCTGGCCAGGCTAGGGCTCCCCTTGGTAGTAGCTTTCGGCTGCTCTGGGGGCCTGTGCTGGGGCTTGTTGGAACCCACAGGATCTTGACACCCACAGCCCTGGAGATGAACACATCCCTTTAGCCCCCAGCAGTTTCTCTCCCTTTTCAAGCTCCTCATCCCCAAGTTCAACCTTATAACCAACTAAATGTACCCTTTTAAGACTCCTTCCTATTATTCAGCTTTTCCTTGAGCAAAAGTACCCTGGCCAGGTATTTTTGGTGGCTCACGCCTGTAGTCCCAGCACTTTGGGAGGCCGAGGCGGGCAGATCATGAGATGAGGCGGGTGGATCACGACGTCAGGAGTTGGAGACCTGCCTAGCCAACATGGTGAAACCCCATGTCTATTAAAAATACAAAAATTAGCCAGGCATGGTGGTGGGCACCTGTAATCCCAGTTTTCAGGAGGCTGAGGCATAAGAATTTCTTGATCCTGGGAGGCGGAGGTTGCAGTGAACCGAGATTGTGCCACTGCACGCTGGCCTGGGTGACAGTGCAAGACTCCGTCTCAAAAACAAAACAAAACAACCCTTTTCAGTCTTTGTAGAGTAGAATATATCAACAGCTTTTCCCATTTTTGCTGAAGGAGCATTCTTGAAAGGCAGTGTTCTTATTTGCTGGTAATTTGTCCCCTAAAATCAGGCATTTCTTGATGCAAAATCTTGAATTTTTAAGGTCTCTTGGTTTTGGCTTTCATCTTATGATACACTTAAACCAGGGCCACACAAAGTAGACTTTTACATAAATTCATGAATGTTGATGCCATTCAAAAGCAAAAGTTCCTTTATGTCTTAGGCGTGCATTCTCAGTTATTATTCTTTATAACAACTGTCTTCAAACAGATAATGTAAGGATTGCAAGTTACTTTGTTTTCATAGTCTTGCTGGAAATAGCCCCAATGGATGACCTGTGCTCCACATCACCATTAACATTTCATGGCTAATCCTATCACCAAACAGACAGTTCTGTGGGGAGATGAGCTAGGCAGTTAGCTCACCTGCCCACATGGATGAGAGATACTCATTCTATTTCTACTAGACAACGCCATGCAGAAACACAGCATTTCCATCAGAGGATCTGATCCTGAAGTTATTTTTAAAATTAAAATCCAGATGGGCATCCTTGCTATGTCAAAAGCTTCAGAGCAGCCCTTTCAAATAATCCATAAAGCTTACGTAAGCAGTGAGGTTCTGACACCATTAATAACACAGGGCTGTTTACAAAGCTCGAGCTTTAGATACGCATTCCATATGCTGTTTTTCAGTGGCTGGGGAGGGTTGTAATGTCTTCCAAATGTTTCTTTTTTCAGTACCCCGAACAACTGCCTGTGAAGAAAGCCAAATTCCTTAAAGAGAGCAAAATCAACTGGTTATTTCAAGGACCTAGGGGGATAAAACTTAAAGGTTTTATTATTTAGCCAGAACACGAGAGGCATGGCTGGGGTAATGTGCTGATCCCTGGAATCTGGTATCACTCTTAACACTCAAGTTTTTGCTCTCCTTCTAATATTGCCTCTTTAGAGATTAAAACCCTGTGTACCACTGCTGTTATGCTGGAAGATTTGTTTCACTGACTGATTCCTACCATAGCTTGAGGATTTATGACCAGGAGTGAAAAAGTTACAGTGGCAGGCAAAGAAAAGGCAGAGAAGTGTCAGTATTAACATGTATCACATTAGAATACAGCTCTGCAGTTATTAGCTCAAAACCCAATTGCCATAACAGACTGATTCCATTTATTAAAAACTCAGGAAAATGCAAACTAATCTAGTGACAGAAAGCAAACCAGAGGTTACCTGGGAATGGGGATGGATGGGAAGAGGAAGGAGGGAGGGATTACTTCCTGCCTCTTCCCAGCCATCCCCGTTCCCAAGTGACCACCGGGAAAGGTTCAAAGAGGGGTTCAAGAAAACTTTTGGCAATAAAATGTTCACTACCCTGATTGTGATAATGGTTTCATGGGTGTGTATCAAAGCTTATCAAAGTGTATACCTTAAACACATGCAGATCATGTTAATGACACTTCAAAAAAAAATTTTTTTTTAAAGACCAATAAATCTGTAGGTCAGTAAACAGTCTACTTGGGTGGCCACAGTAGGAAAACCATACCACACTTTTGTTTAACATGACAGAGTAACCCAACTATCTTTCCCACTGAGGTTACATGAAAGGGTAGAATGTTAAGCGTGATGACTTTTGGTGTGAATTAGGAGAATAAAAGATGCAGAATGAGCCACTTCCCTGAAGTATGAAGGGTTTGTGGCATCAGGGCAGGGTCTGCTCTTTCAACTCCATCCCCAGAGGTCTATCAGGTAACAAAGACTGCTTCCTTAGCTAGTCTAGCTGTACCACTTCAGAGCTACAAGGCAGTGAATGAAAGTAAAAACAAACACTAGTTAAATTTTAAAAATTTATTCTTTTGCTGCTGTTGATTTGTTCTCGAGATGGCTACAACACCAGACAGAACAGTGCCCTCATATCTGATGGCTGTGCAGGGCTGCGCTCCTTTGAAACATTAAGATCTGTTTTGGGCTTCCCTCTTTGGCCTCACCCTCCCCTTGAAATCAAGTAATTTCCACACTTTTTAGTAAAATACTAAACAACACATCAACCCTTGTTAGCCCTGTAAACATTTTTTTTCTCCACACACCCTCCCTCTTTTTTTTCTCTCATGTCTGTGGGTGAATAATTTGCTAAGAAAAAAACTTTAAAAAACAAAAATTTATACAATTATATCCTGTCCCCCACCCTACCCCAGTTTTGGCTCTTCAAAGGTGGACAACCTGATGTGGACTAGAAATGGACTGAGACAATGAATGGGGTCAGGGTTTAGATATCCATAAATTCTAACCCTGGCAGGTCCTGAGCATCACTGATGTGACCACGATAGAAAGCAGAGAAGGCTCCTTGCTTACTCTCCCTTGTCTAAACAATTCTAAGGTGGGAAGAAACACCTGGGGAAGGCAGAAATTTCTACTCACTTGCGTTAAAAGGAGAGAAGAGAGAAAGAGAAGGAAGGGTAGGAGAGGAAAAAGAGGACAAAACCATAGAAAACCTGAACAAAGGACCCTGACCCTCTTCTTCCAATTGCAGCTAATTAATTCATTTGAATCCCCACATTCTCCCTAAGTAAATATTTTGTTTCACAGAAAGCTTGTCCTTTTGTTTTTCCTTGTGCACGTGCGCACTGGCACTTGTGCATGTATGTGTGTGTGTGCATGTGTCATTTGCTACCAGGTGAATGTTTCAGTTCTGGTTTCTCTTTAGTTTTCCTTTTTTTTTTTTCTTTTCTTAAAATTATTTTTCCTTTTAGAAAGTTCACCAGGAAACCAGCTCCCCTCCCACCACACCGGGCAGGCCATAGCCATCTTTTTAAAAACTGTGCTGATTTTCCCTCACACCCCCAAACAGGAACTCCTCAGGATGGCCTCGGAAGGCTGGAGTCTCTCCCTGTCTGGAGGGACACCCTGGTGGCGGTGAAGGCCCCTCTGTCACAACGGAGGTTTCTGATTGTGGGACACAGTCTGGTTTTTGTTTTCTTCCTGTCTTCTAATTTAAAAAGACATTCCTGGCAAAAGAGATAAGACAGTCAATAACCACACCAGAAAACAGAGCATTTAGTAAAATCAACCTTAAGGCAGAGTTTTCTATATTTCCTCAGGTACCTCATTCTGAACTTTACCATAAGAACTCAGAAAAAAAAGCCAAAATAAACATCTGAAGTTTTAACTTGTGGGTTCAAGGGAGCTACTGCTTTAAGGAGACACCATATGCAGTGCACTTCCAATGCTGAGTGTGCTGTGGAAACAAGGGATGACGTGTCAGGGAGGGAAAAGAGCCAGCAGGCCCAGGCTTCCCATTGCAAAGCAGCCAAGGAAGCTCCACCTCAGTCTGCTGTAAACCCCACAGGCTTCATGTCAATTTTATTTTGAAAGAAGGCTCTGCCTACTAACAACAGTTAAAAACAACAAAACAAAACACCAATTGGGATGCTACCGAAAGGATACTGTGTTAAGTGGAGTGGTTCAAAGTGAGAACTCTGGTACCAGAATATCCACATGTGAATTCTGGCTCCACCAATACCATTTGCCTGTCGTAACAGGCAAATCGTTAAATGTCAATTTCCTCTTTTGTAAAATAGGAAAAATAGTAACAAACCCAGAAAAGCAGATAAGGCTTATCCTGGTTAATACATATAAAGCACTTAAAATGGTGCCCTGACACACAGTAAGAGCACAATAAAAGTTAACCACAGACACCTACAGATGTCCATAAGCAACCTTATGAGGTGTATCCATGTCAGCTAACCCAGACACCATGCAAAACCTGATGATCCCAAATGATATTATTACTCATTAAAACAACTGAAGTTAAGAAATGATTTTGGGTGTGGCAAGGCACTGCTGAACATCACCTTTACCTATGAATGCATTTATCACAGAAACTACCAGTGAGTACATCAAGAATTGCCTCCTGGGAGAAGAAACTCTCCTTGAGACATCAAAAGCTGGGCTTGGAGGAAAGTTGCCTTTCTTCTCTCTGTCAAGAAACTGGCACCCAAATTCAACTACCCACTCCTTTTAGCTAAGCTTGGTGCTTTGCTTCAGAATCAGGAGACAGAACGCACATGGAGAAAAGTGATGACTGGGAGCCAAAGATGCTCCTCCTTTCCTGTAAGGGCCAAGCATCCCTAACCTGAATAGCCAAAATGCTTCAACAGCTGAAACTTTTTGAATACGCACTGAAGCATTTTGGATTTTGAATTTTTGGATATGGAATCCCCAACTGGTGTGCATCCTGCAAATATTCCAAAATCCCAGAATATTCAAAATCCAAAAAACACTTATGGAAATGCTGGTCCCAGGTATTTTGAATAAGGAATATTCAACTCATACCTCCTGCCCTGATCAAAACCTGGCACTTTAGCATTCAGATCATCGAGACTGGCACCCCATGTAACAGTCAACTTGAGGTTGTTTTCGCCAAAGTAGCCAGGTTAAAAATACTTATTTGTTTGTTGCCATGTACACTTACCATCTTAGAAGTGTCTGTAACAGGAAAGAGGAAGAAAATTTTTCAATGCACTTTGCAACACTTTCTTATGGAGGTAAAAATGGTCCCACAAAGACACTGACAATTATCTGGCTGCCCTGGCCCAAGAAAATCAGGGCCCTGTATATTCCAGCTGTTCACCACAGTTAAATTGTTGAGTCCTTCCTTGACTCTCACTACCAGTCCCATGATAGGCATTAAAACCTATCCCCATTCCCAGGCATCCCTGACACCAGTAGAAATGCTAGTATCACTCACCTGGGTGACAGGCACAGTGCAGGAAGAGTATGAGCTATCGAAACAACCTGGTGAAGTCTCGCAAGGCCCAGCAAACTTGCTTACATTCCTCAGCACTAGAAAAGAAAAGGTAAGTTGGTTTTTGACTGAGGAGAAAGACAGAATATGCTGAAAAACAACCACAACATTGGGTCACACTGAGAACCGTCCCAACTCTGCTAGGAGCTCTCTCCATAGTCTCCTGACCAACCCTGGCTTCAGGTCTTTCTGCAATTCAGGGAAAAAATTATTATATATGACAACAGTTATAAGGTTGATAGTCTTCAAAGAGTAGACTGTGGACAAAAACTGCACGAGTTTGAATCCTGGCTCCACTGTGCCCTTGAACAAGCTGCCAATCTTTGTCTCAGTTTCCTCATCTATTATCTACTTCATAACTTTGTTTACAGGATTAAAACAGTCCATATACCAAGTGCTTATGATAGTAAAGCAGTGAACAAAATAGTATTCAATAAAGTAGGCTACTACAATAACACTTGGTTGCTAAGGCTCTCATAAGTTTCCTCATTCTCTTCCAAAGATAGATTTTGTTTACAAAGGCCAGTCTAGCAACTGAGTCATTGATTTTCATTGACTTTCTAGTCATTGATTTTCTAGTTTAACAGGCTGCGCAGGATTTCCTCCTGTGGGAGGAGGAGGGAGAGAGGAAAGGGTTAAAGCATGTAGAAAGGGAGACCGAGGAAGCAGGAGATGCCTATGTGATATAAATAGCCCAATGGTCATCTGACCCTGTTTTTTCAAAAGCCCCCCACCTCCAAAACTGTCACCAAGATACCAGTTGATGCCAGCCTCAATCTACTGTATCTGTTCTCATAACAGTTTTTGCTAAATGAACATAAGGCTAAGGTAAAGCAGTGGAAAAGGAAGCACTTCTTTTTCTTTTTGAGATGGAGTCTTGCTCTTGTTGCCCCAGTGCAATGGCTCGATCTCAGCTCACTGCAACCTCCAGCTCCCAGGTTCAAGTGATTCTCCTGCTTCAGCCTCCAGAGTAGTTGGGATTACAGGCACCTGCCACCACGCCCAGCTAATTTTTTGTATTTTTAGTAGAGATGGGGTTTCGCCATGTTGGCCAGGCTGGTCTCAAATTCCTGATCTTGTGATCCGCCTGCCTCAGCCTCCCAAAGTGCTGGGTTTACAGGCATAAGCCACCACGCCTGGCCAGGAAGTACTTCTTAATATGCTTGTCTTTCAGTGGCCCTCTCTCTGGCTCAGCAAACTCAGCAGTGCCTACAGCCTAGGATTCAATGTAGATGAAAATGCACCTTCCACTTCATAATGGTTAACACCAGGAGAGGGAACTGCTTTAAGTGATCCAACAGAAAAGGTGAAAATAGAGCTATCCACTTAGGTTCCTACATCCAGATTTCCCCACCTATTATAAGTTCTGAAACATCATGAAGAACCTTGACTTAGATCCCATGACTTGATTCAACAGAACATTCTGGAAACTTTCTTCTAGTCTCTCTCCATCCTAAAAATGTAATGAAAATGAGGCAGGTGGCCAGGCGTAGTGGCTCATGCTTGTAAACCCAACACTTTGGGGCAACACAGGGAGACCCCGTCTCTACACATAATTTTAAAAGTAGCTGTGTGTGGTGGCACACACCTGTGGTCCCAGCTACTTGAGAGGCTAAGGCAGGAGGATCGCCTGAGCCAGGGAGGCTGAGGTTGCAGTGAGCCGTGATTGTGCTACTGCAATTCAGGCTGGGCAACACAGTGAGACTCTGTCTCAAAAAAGGAAAAAAGAAACTGAGAACAGTAAAGGTCTTTTGGCTTTATTGGAATCGCCATTACCTCTGTGGATTTAATAAACTTTGATTAAAGTGTTACATTTCTCATTTAATTTCCAAATCAATATTGACTATTAAGGAGGCAGCCAGGGTATATCAGCCCATATCACTCATGCTCCCAACGACAGGAAGGAGGAAGATCTGTAACCCAAGAGAAGTTGCTATGTGGTATGTTATTACAAGGGACTAGGATAACAGAAAATCCTGAAACTTAGGACAGTGCTGGAGACTGAGATTTTTTTTTGCTACCCTAATGTCTTACATGTTTTAAATTTTACCCTTCTTCAAAAGGTAAAATTTTGAAAATTTTGTTTTCAAAAAAGATAGAAACAGGGTCTCACTGTTTTGCCCAGGCTGGTCTCGAACTCCTAGGTTCAAACTATCATCCTGCCTCAGCCTCCAAAAGTGCTGGGATTACTGGCGTGAGCCACTGTACCTGGCTGAGACTTTGGAAGAGAAATGGTAACTCCACGGCTTCCTTTGTGGCACATGAGAAAAAGTATTGAAACCAAAATGAAAGCACGGGAGAACTGCAGTGAGATAGGGTGAAAGGAGGGACAGGCCACACTGTCAACTCGGCTTCTGCCCCAATCCTATGGGGAACTGCTTTGGTGTCAAACACTTCATCCAAATGTTTAATTGAAGTGTCCTTGGTGGAAAGCCCAAAGAAATGGATCAAAAACCTCCTTGAGGCCAGGTGTGGTGGTTCACGCCTGTAATCCCAGCACTTTGGGAGGCCGAGGTGGGTAGATCACTGGGAGGCCGAGGTGGGTAGATCACCTGAGGTCAAGAGTTCGAGACCAGCCAGGACAACATGATGAAACCTCACCTGTACTAAAAATTCAAAAATTAGCCGGGCATGGTGGTAGGCACCTGCGATCCCAGCTACTTGGGAGGCTGAGGTTGGAGACTCACTTGAACCTGGGAGGCGGAGGTTGCAGTGAGCTGAGATTGCACCACTGTACTCCAGCCTGGGCGATGGAGCAAGACTCTGTCTACCAAAAATAAATAAATAAAAAGCTCCTTGAATGTTAGAACTGCAGTCATGTGCTGCACAATGATGTTCTGGTCAACGATAGACTGCATATACGCGGTGGTCCTATGAGTATAATGGGGCTGAAAACTTGCATGCCGCATTACTCCCGTTTGTGGTGATGCTGGTATAAACAAACCAACTGCACTGCCAGTCATATAAAAGAACAACACATACAATTAGCTACGGTACACATTACTTGATAATAAACAACGATATTACTGGTTTGTTTATGTATTTTAAAATTACACAAAAAAGGAAGTTAACTGTAAAACAGTCTCAGGCAGATCCGTCAGGAGGGAATTCCAGAAGACACTGTTATCCTAGGAGATGACAGCTCCCTCTGTGTTACTGCCCCTGAAGACCTTCTAAGTGGGACAAAATATGGAGGTGGAGGACAGTGATATAGATGTTCCTGACCCTGTATAGGTCTAGGCTAATATGTGTTTATGTTTTAGCTTTTAACTAAAAAGTTTAAAAGCAAAAAAAAAAAAAGGTAATTTTAAAGAGAAAAAAACTTATGAAGATATAAACAAAAAAATTTTTATGAGCTGCACAATTTGTGTTTTAAGTTAGGTGTTATTACAAAAGAGTCCAAGATTTTTTTAAAAATTTAGTTTATAAAGTAAAAAAGTTACAGTAAGCAAGGATTATAAGCAAGGGTTAATATATTATTATCATGAGATAGAATCTCACCCTTTTGCCCAGCAGTGGCATGATCTCAGCTCAATGCAACCTCTGCCTCCTAGGTTCAAGCGATTCTCCTGCCTCAGCATCCTGAGTAGCTGCGATTACAGGTGCGTACCACCATACCTGGTGAATTTTTTAAATTTTTAGTAGAGATGGGGTTTCACCATGTTGGCCAGGCTGGTCTCAAACTCCTGACCACAAGTGATCTGCCCGCCTTGGCCTCCCAAAGTGCTGGAACTAGAGGCGTGAGCTACTGCACCTGGACAAGGGTTAATTTATTATTGATGAAAAAATATTTCTTAATAAATTTAGTGTAGCCTAAGTATATCGTATCTATAAAAAGTCTACAGTAGTATACGGTAATGCCCTAGGCCCACTATTTACTCACCACTTACTCACCTAGAGCAACTTCTAGTCCTACAAGCTCCATTCATGGTAAGTGCCCTCATACAGGTATACCCTTTTTTTCCCTCTTTTATATTGTATTTTTGCTGTACCTTTTCTATGTTTAGATATGTCTGGATACACAAATTCCTACCATTGTGTTATAACTGCCTACCAGTATTCAGTACAGTAACCTGCTATACAGGTTTGTAGCCTAGGAGCAATAGGCTACACTATATAGACTAGGTGTGTGGTAGGCCATACCATCTAGGTTTGTAGAAGTATAGTCTATGATGTTTGCACAACAACGAAATCACCTAATGACACATTTCTCAGAACATATCGCCATCATTAAGTGACACATGACTGTATTTTCTGTTTCAGTCCTTCTGACATTTGATATTTCTTAGTTTTTTATTTATTTTTCAACTGCCAGTAGTTTTTAGATTCTATATTCAGGCTTCTAGCCCCTAAATTCCTATCCTTCCACCATATTTCTGAAAGCTTTTATGGTCAGTATTTCTCAAGCCCCATAAGATTACTAGGGGAGTTCTGAGAAATGAGATCCTTTTGATCTGACGACCTGGTAGGTAACAGAAAATAATGAGACTGATGACTTGACTAGGGATTCAACCCCTTACTGGCCTCTAATTCCAGTCTCAGTGCTTCCCATGTTCAATATCTTTTGGCTTTGAAGATCCCTGGGCAAGTGATAAGTAGTCACAGAATAAAGACCAAGACAGAGAAATGGAAATGATGGCAGGGTTTCTGCTAGTCCCAATTACTCTTAGTTAATGATGGGCTCATTGACATTTGGAAAGCAAGAATGTTATTTTAGAATGAAAGTCCCAGCTTTCTTCAAGTTGACCAACTAAAAAAGCTAGGGAATTAATTACCAGTCCCATGTGAAAAGCAGGCTTGGACTCGCTGAAATGAAACTGAACCAGTTCACCCTCTCTGCCAGAATGGCAAACAAAGTGGCATGTTGAGGCAGGTGTTACAGGACCTTAAAATCAAAAGGGAGACTGAATCATGCATGGGACAGAAAGTTCAAGGGCTATGGGCATTCTAGAGGAAGAGAATTACTAAGAGGAGATGAGCAATCTCAAGTCCTTTTCTAATACCTCAACATTAGCTCCTACTTCTGTTCATTCCCACCACCATGTTACAACCTGCTATAGGAAGAGCTGCAAAACTTGTTTAGCAATGAAAGATCAAGTAGGTCATATTAGTGGTGTACCTTATTTTCCCATATCACAGGGCAAAGATCACAGATTTTTTTTTTTTCATAGTACTGCTTTACTTAGGTCTCTTTTTCCTTGCCCCAAGATTTTTAAATTAGAAAAGGATATCTATGACCTCGATTTCAGTTTTACGATAATATTTTATCTGTCATTTTTTAGTCCTACTGAGGGAATGAGGGGTTGACAGAGACTTATTCTAGAATGTGTGGGATTCCAGAACATGTGGGTGGCTGTCTTAGAGTCAGCAGGAATGACATGCCCCAGCTAGTTTTGCAAGTACCTAATGACATTTCAGCAGTTTCTCCTCCAAGGAGAAAGGAATTAACATTCACTGATCACATACTGTGTGCAAGGTCTTCAGATTTCCATTTGGTATCTCATAATAATCTTATGAGACTGGTAGTACTAACCTAATTTCACTTGATAAATAAACTGAAGCTCGAAGTAATAGGGTATATGGCAAGATTCAAACCAACATACTTGACTCCAAACCCCATCTCTAGAGGGTTTCCCCTAGGTTCCCATTTGCTCTAGGAAAATTAGAGCCAATATGAGATCCTGCCCTTATACTGTAACCAGCACTAAATGGAATAATGCAAAACAGGCAGAGAGAAGCAACTACTATACTTCTTTCCCCTGAGATACCTTGTAGACAGAATACTATTTCTACTGAGAAGAGTCATAGTAAAAGCAACCAAATGACTTTTTAAGGTCGCCCCAGTCAATATATGCCTACCCAGTAGAGTGGAAATCCCCACTTCTGGCAAAATGTGTCATGAAGGTGGTCACATGTTGTTTTTCAGTCATGCACGTCACTTGATTTATGGCTAAAAGTAAGTTATTTCTGGGGCATACTAGGCTTACTACTTAAGCCACTTAGTAAACTATAAAATAATAGCATTCCACAGTTTGGGATTGTAACATTAACAAAATTGTTGGAGACATTCCAGAAGACGAGAAAGTAAACTATTTTGGAAAGTGACATTAAGAAATCAATTCTGAGAAAAGACAACTAGCTCTTATACCACTGCTTAAAGTTTATTTTCTTTCCCTTCTAAGTCTGATTTTACCCATAAAAGTATAATTTATACTCATAAAAAAGTGCACATAGTACAGAAAGTTATGAAAAGTAAAAGCCTCCTTCCCTTCCTAGCCTCACTTATATATCTTTCCAAAAACTTACTGTGCATAAAGTAGCCTCTGTGTGTGTCTAATTTACAATAAACAGATCTTTAAAGTGTAAGTTGGTTCATTTAAAATAGCATTAAAAATACTTATGTAAACATTTAACCAAGGAAGTGAAAAACTTACACACTGAAAACTACAAAATTAAAGACACCAATAAGTGGAACAATATACTGTATTTGTTGATTTGGAGATTTAATATGCTTACAATTTCAATACTACTCAAAGCAATCTGTAGATTCAATACAATCCCCATCAAAATCCCAACAACCAACCTCTTGTACAGAAAAATCTACCCTAAAATTCATATGGAATTTCAAGGATCCCCAAGTAGCCAAAATAATCTTTAAAAAGAACATTATAGGCCTCAAATTCCTGATTCTAAAACTTAATACAAAGCCACAGTAATACAAAACAGCATGGTATTGACATAAAGAAATACATCATAAAAAAGAACAGAGAGCCTATTAATAAATTCTCCTGTATATTGTCAAATGATTTTCAACATGGATGCCAAAACCATTCAGTGCAGAAAAGACAGTGTTTTCAACAAATGGTGCTGGGAAAACTGGATATCCACATGCAAAAGAAAGAGGCTGGACCCTTACCTAACATCACATACAAAAATTAACTCAAAATGGATCAAAGACCTGACATAAGACCTAAAACTGTAAAACTCTTACAAGAAAACCTAGGGGGAAAAGTTTATGACATTAAATCTGGCAATGACTTCCTAGGTATGACACCAAACAGACATCAAAAGCAAAAACAGATAAACTAGGCTACATCAAAATTAAAAACTTCTATGCATCAAGAGACACAATCAACAGAATGAAAAGGCAACCCAAAGAATGGAAGAACATATCTGCAAATCATGTACCTGATAAGAAATTAATATCCCAAATATAAAAGGAACTCCTGCAACTCAACAACAAAAGAAACCCAGTTTTTAAATGGTCAAAGCACTTGAATAGATGTTTCTCCAAGAGGATAGACAAATGGCCAATACGCATATGAAAAAATGCTCAACATCACTAATCATTAGAGAACTGCAAACCAAAACTGCATTGAGGTATCACTTCATACTTGGTGTGAAGTGCTACGATGGCTACTCTCAAAAACCCAGGAAATAACAAGTGTTGGCGAGGAGTGGAGAAACTGGAACTTTGTGCACTGCTAGTGGGAACGTAAACTGGTGCAGCTGCTATGGAAAACAATGTGGTGGTTTTTCAAAAAATTAAAGATTAAATATGATCCAGCAGTTCCACCTCTGGGTATCCAAAAGAATTGAAAGCGGGAGCTGAAAGAGATATGCGTATACCTGTGTTTACAGCAGCAGGCTTACAACAGCTAAGAGGTAGAAGCAACCCAAATGGCCAACAACAGATGAAAGGATAAATAAAATGTGGTACATACATACAATGGAATAATATTTAGCCTTAAAACACAGATAAACTCTGAGGACATTATGCTAAGTGAGGTAAGCTAGTCACAAAAAGACAATCTGTATGATCTCACTTATATGAGGTATCTAGAGTAGTCAGACTCAAACAGTAAGTAGGAAGGTAATTGCCAGGAGATGGGGAGACAGGAGAATTGTTGCTTAATGGGTATAGTTTCAGTTTTACGAGATGAAAAAGTTCTTGAGAGTGGTTATACAACAACATGAATATATACTTTACTGAACTACACATTTATAAAAGTGGTTAATACTGTAAATTTCATATCATGTGTATTTTTATCACAATTAGAAATTTTAAAAATTATTTTAAAAGCTCAAGTTAGGTTATAAGATACTACTATTTTAACCTCAACAATTTATCCTGTATATTTTTCTGTATTATCACATATTTCTTCTTCCTTGTTCATCTTTGGAACTATTTACTAGTATAAGCATATTGTTAATTATTTAACATTTCTTTATTGGTGGGCAATTAGAATATTTCAAGTTTTTTTCACTACTTCTAACCTTGCTGTAATGTTCCTTCTTTGACTTATGTATCTTTCCACACTGCATGATTATAAGCCATTGCCTAAAATTTAGTCAAAACTCTTAAAGACTCTAGATATAAAAAGAGCATCAGGGCAAGAAAACACATAGCTATAAAATCCAACGTAAGTTGCTATCATTAATATTAACACCATAAGTCTCATAACCTTGGCTTTGGTGATTACTTTTAAAGGAAAATATTCAAAAGAAGGAAAAGGCTCTATTTTTGACATTATCTGCAATACTAAAAAACCGAAAAATAATCTAAATGCCTACTAATACAGGCATTATAAGTATATTAAGTAACACTTTTATGGCTATAAACAATATTCAGGAGGACTATGTAACTATATTAAAAATGTTTATATGTTCACAGTAATAAAACACACCCACTTTACATTTTAAGCTGTAATCCAGAGATTGTAAGTGCCTCATGGACCTAATGTATCCCAGACAGATGTTTTGTTTGGACTACACAACTTCTTTGAAATTAGAATCTATCTTCAGGCATGGTGAACATTCTCCAATTCACTGTAGTCTACACATCACTTCCAGTGTTTTACAACCAATGCTTTGCCTTATTTAGGTACCTACATTCGTGACCCCTGAATGTGGATAAAAACTCAGAAGGACTTAGGAAATACAGACAGATCTCCTGACAGGGAGTGAGCTGCACAGTGCATTTTTCCTTTGGGAGAAATAGTGCCTCCACTTATCATTAAAATCTGTATGATCTCAAAAACATTGAGTCCTACTAAGTACTTTCCTGAACTTCTTTTATAACTTATACCAGTTAGTACATATGGAAAATATATATGTACATACATACACAGTATGGTGATATTCTCCCACTAGATTGGCTTCCAATGTCAATTTGTGCAATTCGAGGTTAAATAGACTATAAAGTGTAAATTCCCAAGGGCACATAAGAACCCCCCAGTGTCACTCACCTAGTGACTTGCTTGTGGAAGTCTGTAAGTTGTTTGTGTGTCACTGTGACGGCTCCCACAGTTGTCTCCTTTGGCAAACCTTTTAAGGAATTTTCTAACCATCGACAAAAAGTCTGTATAGGGAAGGAGGTGAGAGTTTTAAAAGGAAGCATGGTTTACTCACCTGACACCCTACAGGTAGTTACGAAACCTCACACATTTTCCTAGTAGCATTTACTTTCCTACACTTGGAAGTAAGTAATCAACAAAAGTGCTCTCATTAGCCTTTCAAACCCTCTGGGTTGATGCAGTCTGCACATGCATGCCTAGACTTCCCTTCAAAGGGGCGGCAGGCATCATTTCAGAAAAGGACCTTCTACACCTTAGAAGTGAGGTTTCTTCTGGATGAGGTTATTTTCTGTTTTCTTCATAATGTATGTGACATATATACATATGCACGTGTGTGCATAAACACCCGGCACACACACAATTCTTTTGAGATAGGGTCTCACTCTGTTGCCCAGACTAGCATGCAGTGCACTGACTGCAGCTTTGACCTTCCAGGCTCAAGTGATCCTCCTACCTCAGCCTCCCAGGTAGCTCAGACTACAGAAGCGCACCACCATGACTGGCTAATTAAAAACAATTATTTTTTTTTTTAAGAGATGGAGTGTCTTTCTATATTGCCCAGACTGCTCTCAAACTCCTAGGCTCAAGAGATCCTCCCAAAGTGCTGGGACTACAGGTATAAACACTTGGTCAGTATATTTTTAAAATTAAACAAAAATCAATCCAAAGTAAAGGTTCAGATACTTGAAAGAGCAAGGGCAAAAAGTATATTTAAGCCACCATGTCAGAAACTATACATATGAGTCCAGAATCTTAAGGATTTTAAGGTCATCTCTTTCAGATGAAGTCCTATCCATTCAGTTCCCTCGTGGTATCTACCTGCTCTTCGCATTAAAAAAACCTTACTCTTGCTGCTGTTCAATTTACTTATATCTGAGCATTCTCTTTATGCCTTTCATATGCACAATAATTGGCTCTACTCCCTTTACTTCCTTCCTTTCTAAAATAAAAATTCTAGAGACTTAATCTGAATTCTAGAGACTTTATCTGGGTTATTTTCAGTTTAACTGTTGTCCTTTGAGTCAGCTCTAATATTTCTTCATCCCTTTCTTAAGTGGAATGTATACTTTGGTCATAGTTTTGGGCTGTAAAATTACTCTCTTATACCTAATTTTTTGTTTTACATTATTTATTTCCCATGATATTTAGTTATAACCATAATAGGCCAGAGCAAAAGTATTATAAATGCTCAAGAATTACTAAGCATTTCTTAATTATGGATATATAACAGTTCCTTTTTTTTTTCTTTTGAGATGAAGTTTTGCTCTTATTGCCCAGTCTAGAGCAATGGTGTGATCTTGGCTCACCGCAACCTCCACCTCCCAGGTTCAAGCGACTCTCCTGCCTCAGCTTCCCAAGTTGCTGCGATTATAAGCATGTGCTACCACGCCTGGCTAATTTTGTATTTTCAGTAGAGATGGGGTTTCTCCATGTTGGTCAGGCTGGTCTCGAACTCCCAACCTCAGATAATTCACCAGCCTCGGCCTCCCAAAGTGCTGGAATTACAGGTGTGAGCTACCACACCTGGCCCAGTTCCTTAATTCTTAATTAAGGATTCATAATAGTTGTTATATAGCATTTTTTTTTTTTTGAGACAGTGTCTCAAAAGGAACTATGCTGCTCAGACTGGAGTGCAGTGGCATGATTATAGCTCACTGCAGCCTGGAACTCCTGGGCTCAAGCAATCTTCCTGCCTCAACCTCCTGAGTAGCTGGGACTATAGATGTATGCCACCACACCCAGCTAATTTTTTTTTTTTCATTTTTTGTAGGGGTGGGGTCTCCCTTTGTTGCCGAGGCTGGTTTCAAACTCCTGGCCTCAAGTGATCCTCCTGCCCTGGTCTCCCAAAGTGTTGGGAAGACAGGCATAAGCCACTGTGCCCGGCAGGTATATATATAGTACACTCCTAAGAGTACATGGCTACCTGGTTTCTGTTCCTGTCCAAACTTCTTGTTCTCATCTTTTGTTTGTTTTTGTTAGCACTTAACAATTTGTTTACACTCAAGAATGTTTTTATAAAGTTAGATTTATTTAAGTTTTCTATTACTTGGGAATCAAGTATATTTGTAAAAAAGTTTAAGCAGAGTATGGAGACTTTTTCCCTCAGGTCAAGGACTTTTGGAATTAAATTTGCTGATTCCTGGAGGCTCAAAAAGTACTTTTCTTTAGAAAACCAAATATGCTGCTCTATTAAGTTGAAATGGAACATGAGTATTGAACCAGCAAGGAATAGGTACTATCTATATTATTATTATCCATTTTATATTCTGTTGTTCTGTAAGATAGCTCACTTTAGGTCCTATTGAGTACTTTCCTAAACTGCTTTTATAGTAATATTAAAAATTATAAATTCAATTTTAAAAATAATTTCAGATTATATTACATTTTACCATTCTGCTCAACTTTCACACAGCACACATAAACTGAGTTATGGTCATGTGACCTAGTACTGAAAATATTTGGGCATTATCAGATAGCTTTAAAAAAACAATTCCATCCTTAGGTGATTAAGAATCTGGTTCAAAGAAATCCAAAGGGGAAATATATCCAAGTCTACATTGTGGGTTACGTTTACATTTATGTGCTTCCAAATGTTCTGGTTAGATGTATCACCAAGAAATAATACAGTGCTATAGAAGAGGTCTGACAGGATGAAATACTTCCTGAATAATACATAACTAATATGACTGACATTTGGGCATCTCTCACAAGTGAACATATTTCACATTGGACAGCCACACGACTGAATTCAATGCTTGATACTTATTTTTGGTAATACAAATTCTATGACAGTGACATATAAACATGCTTTAAAGGACTCAATAATAAATTACTGACCTTCTGTGAGCCTCTTCATCTACTAATCTAACTTGGCAATACGCCTAAATTTGGCTCCACGGACACAGAACAGGGCTAGTTTCAAAATTAGGGTTGGCCTTAAGGAACCAAAGCCTATTACATTTAGTAACTATGAGATAAATTCCTTATGAAAACATCTTACCGGTCTATCAACCTGCATGATCTCCCAGAGCACTTCAGCCACATCTGGCAGGGTATAGGGGGGGAGACAAAAGCAGCAGGTATGTAGCAGCTGGCTGACAAGCTGCTGTCCAAGCTGGCTCATCACCTGTCCAATCAGTTCCTTCCGTAATTCAAAGTCTTCTTCATGCTGTATATAGGAAAGCAGGAACATCAGATAAATTCTAGTCTCAACATTCCAAAGACCAAGCACTATTCCCCCTTTAGCCTAGTAATTTATCTTTAATAGGGAAGAAAGTATGTGTATGTGTGTGCACGTGTGTGTAAAATAACAGCTGGATTCACAAAGTTCACAAAGTGTTTCACCTTCAAAAAGAAAATTAAAGAGTTTATTAGTATCGAGGAATGAGCATGGGTTTCAACAGAGATTAATGCTTAGATTTTTCATGATTTTAAGGCAGAAAAGAAAATACTGTTCAGAATTAAGTTAGCAATTTAAAAACTTTTTTTCCCTCATCTTCAATTAAATATTTTTAATGTGAAAAATAACTTGCGTTCCTATTTTCTTGTTTAAAAACCAAGTCGGCCTGGCACAGCAGCATACACCATAGTCCCAGCCACTCCAAAGGAGGGACAGGAGGACAGCTTGAACCCAGGTGTTCTGGGCTGGTGCCTGCACTAAATTCAGTATTAATATTGTGATCCCCACTCCTGGGTTGCCTAAGGAGGGAGAGGTGAATAGCCCAAGTCAGAAACAGAGTGGGTCAAAATTCCATTCTGATCTGCAGTGGGATCTCACCTGTGAATGGCCACTACAGTCTGGGTAACACAACCAGATCCCCATCTCACAACAAAACAAAACAAAACCAACTGAAATAAGAATTGAAGATGTCTATCAGATTCTGAATTTTTTCCTGTTAAAAAAACCCTTATTTTCTTTCTTTATGTGGTCTTTTTTTTTTGGAGACAGAGTCTTGCTCTGTCACCAGGCACCAGGCTGGCGTGCAGATCCTAGCTCACTGCAACCTCCACCTCCTGGGGTTCAGGCAATTCTCCTGCCTCAGCCTCCCAAGTAGCTGGGACTACAGGTGCATGCCACTACGCCCAGCTAATTTTTGTATTTTTTAGTAGAGACTGGGTTTCACCACGCTGGTCAGGATGGTCTCGATCTCTTGACATCATGATCCGCCTGCCTCAGCCTCCCAAAGTGCTGGGATTACAAGTATGAGCCACCGCGCCTGGCCCTCTATGTGGTCTTTAATTTTTTTTTTTTTTTTGACAGAGTCTTGCTCTGTTGCCTAGGCTGGAGTGCAGTGACATGATCTCAGCTAAGCAAAACCTCTGCCCCCTAGGTTCAAGCAATTCTCCTGCCTCAGCCTCCCTAGTAGTTGGGATTATAGGCATGCGCTACCATGCTCAGCTAATTTTTGTATTTTCAGTAGAGACTGGTTTCATCATGTCGGCCAGGCTGGTCTCGAACTCCTGACCTCAAGTGATCTGCCCATCTCGGCCTCCCAAAGCGATGGAATTACAGGCATAAGCCACCGCACCGTTCCTTCTTGTGGTCTTTAAACATACACATACATATTTCTAATACCTTGAGAAAAATATATTTTTAAATTACCTTTCCCTTCTAGTAATTTTCTCTTTTACTGCCAAACTTCTTAAATGAACAGCCTGAATAGAATGCAGAAGTGAATACGTACTTCTTCCCTGTTCTTCCTTATCTACAATTTTACTCCACATCTAACCAAACCTACCTTCAAAATTCCTGTGAGCCACTTTACTAGTCCCATTGCTTAGCTGTCTACTAACAAACTTAGTACTATTCTGAATTGCTCTGATCCTAGTTTAAAGGCAGTTAGACTAACTCTCTCGAATCCAACCAAATTCTACCTCTATCTCATGGCTCCATTTAAATCCGTCCCCTTTCAGAAAGTTATTCCAACTCTCTTCTGTCTAGAGCTTTCCCTTGTCTAATCTCATAGCAATCATGACTTTGATCACTCATCTGATAATCAAATACTGGAGGCCAAGGTGGGAGGATCACTTTAGGCCAGGAGTTCAAGACCAACCTGGGCAACATAGTGAAATGCCATCTCTACAAAAAATATAAAAACTAGCCAGGCATGGTGGTGAATGCCTGTAGTCCTAGCTACTCAGTAGGCTGAGGATCCCTTGAGCCTGAGAGGCAGAGCCTGCAGTGAGCCATGATCACATCACTGTACTCTGCCTAGGTGACAGAGCAAGACTCTGTCTCAAAAACAAATGAGAACACCAAATACTGCCTTCTTGTTGTTTATTTAACTCTTTAAACTTGTTTCTCTCTTCAACTAGACACCAAATGGTTTGAGAGCAGGAACAGTTTTATACTGCTTTATATAGCCTAAAGCACCCAGCATACGTGTCTTAGTTGATATTTTGGCTAGTGAACGATCCACTGTGATAAATGTCTACCAATACAGACCAAGTAACGAAATACTGAATACTGGTTTTCCCCTAAGGAGTGACAAAGAGATGGATGCAGCAAACCACCATGGCATGTGTATACCTATGTAACAATCCTGCATGATCTGCACATGTATCCCAGAACTTAAAGTACAATAAATAAATAAGACAAAAAATAACTACCAAAAAAAAAAAAGCTGTAAAGTAGAAATGGTATCACATTTATACTTACATCATTGGCTACCCCTGTATGAATGAGGTCTCGTAGGAACCTCATGACACTACAGTTGGCATCCCGGTGGTCCAGGGTAGTAGAGGCAATGGCCCACTGTAAGATGGGGATGACTACTTGGCTCCTCAGCAAGGTGACAGGGCTACGCTGAATAAACCTGGTGTGGAAAGGGAAACTAAGTATAAATCACAAGATTAGGCTATAAAAGCAGCCAGAGTAAAAGGGCAAAACAACGAAGATAATAAAAAAGATCAGTAGTTGGTGGGGTTTTCAGGAAAGAAGGGATGAACAGACAGAACACAGAGACTTTTTATGGCAGGGAAAGTATTCCATATGATACTATAACAATTGATACATGTCATTACATATTTGTCAAAACCCACAGAATGTACACCAAGAGTGAATCCTAATTAAACTGTGTACTTTGGGTGATGATAATTGTTAATAAAGGGTCACTGTTTGTACTACTCTGGTGGGGGATGCTGAGAGAAAGGAAGGCTGTGTGTGTTAGAAGGGAGGGGCATATGGGAGCAATTTTACTCAACTTTGCAGTGATCTTAAGTTGCTCTTCCAAAAAAAAAAAAAGGACTATATCTTAGATTAGCATATTAAAAGATGTTACCACACCCAATTTTCAACTAAAATTTTATAAATCAAGAAAGACCAGTCAAAAGGACTTACAAGTAGAAACTCTCCTGGTTAAAATGCCCTAAAGATGCTACAAACAGCATTTCCCAAACTAAAGTTCACAGAATTCCAGTTCCCCAGGATGTCAACAGGAATCCTTCAAAGAAAAGGTTGTGTATTCAAGTAAGCTTGGGAAATGCTGCTGATTTTAAAAGTGGTTTTGCTTGTTTATTTTTTGTTTTAAACTACTATCAGGTTTCTAAGTTCCTTTAATACACTGGGAGAATCTCTTAAGAAAAAGATGCAGTATATTCCAAACTTGTTTCATCGTTTGTACAAAGAACCTTTCTAGGGACTAGTTTTCCAAGGAATACAAACCCTAAGAAAAGAGGTTGATAGCCCATCCAACAATTCTATCTACTAAAAAAAGTTTTTCTAACCTATCCGAAAACTAACAAAAAAAGTGTCCAATATTCAATCCTGAGATGAAACTATCAAGTCAATATTATTTTGCATTTGTAATGATATAACAGTTGGGTTTTTCTTGTTTTGAAAAGAAAATAATCTTTTTCTTTTTTTCTTAATGCTTATATGCTAATAGGTTTGGTTAAAATTCCTTAGTCAGGGACTAAGGAATTCAAGCAGAAGTTTGGCAATCATATTGTCAGTGCTACTGCTGAAGCAAGCTGTTGATACAGCTGAGAAATACAGTATGAGACAACTGCTAAGGCACCTTAAAATCCTAAACATTTTTTATTCTGAAACTGATTATATCCAAAGGATGCTAAGCTTCTCAAGGGGAAGGCTGAGGTGAAACATGAAATCGCAACAGCACAAATGGTTAAAAACTATGGAGGACTGTAGAAATGATCTAGTTAAGTGTTTTACCAGGCACACTGCATTGTCTTGTGTGTGCTCCCTCCTTCCTGGCAGGAACTCAGCTTCTTTACCCTTGCTTCCAGAAATACTCTGCATCATTGCTGGGGATATATTAGCTTGCAATTTACCTTGGGGTTATGAATCATTAATCTACTTACTCCACTGACTTCATTTTACAAGAATAAAACAAGAGTCAGATGGCAAGACTAAGCAGTGATGGGATGAGCAATTAAAAATGAAATGTGCTCCTCAGAAGGGTTTACCTAGTGGCTAGCCGGAACAGGTCATCTACAGTGTCAGGGTGATTCTGGAGACCATTCTGCTGTTCCAGGAGCTGAAAGGTGGGGATGCACAGTGCCTAAAACAGAAGAGTGATTTTAAAAGAAATGCTTTTTTAGAAATGCCACAGCGTTCAGACTTGCCACATATTATAATAAGTACAAAAAGAACAAAGAAAAGCACAGCTGGGAAAAGAAAAAGACTGTAATGAGAATATCTGATCAGGAAAAGAAAAGACACAAATCCTTCCCAGTTGACATAAACAGTTTTCATCTATGAAGTCCTTAATTTTATTTTTTTTTCTGAGATGGAGTCTTGCTCTGTTGCCCAGGCTAGAGTGTAGTGGCATGATCTTGGCTCACTGAAACCTCTACCTCCCGAGTTCAAGTGATTCTTCTGTCTCAGCCTCCCAAGTAGCTGGGACTACAGGTGCATACCACCACGCCCAGCTAATTTTTATATTTCTTTTTTTTTGAGACGGGGTTTCACCATATTGGCCAGGCTGGTCTCAAACTCCTGACCTCGTGATCTGCCCAACTCAACCCCCTAAAGTGCTGGGATTACAGGCATGAGCCACTGTGCCCACCTGAAGTCCACTGGGGACTTTAAGAAAGGGTTGAGGGTACAGATTTTAGTTGTTAAAACTCAATAGATGTCATCTCAAAGTTTTAGAAAATTTTTGAAAGCAAAGATTCTATTTAGGTACTAGATATGATCTAGTCCACTAAGGGAGTGGAAGTTTTCATAATAATTATGAAATATCAATTTTAAATGAAAAGACGTCTTGGGAAAAGAAACGGCATACTGCAACTCAATACTCCCCCTCTGTGACTAGAAGGAATGGAAAAGTAGTATCTGAAGAGCCATTTCTAATGCCAGCTATTAACTCTAAAACCCTCCCTGCTGTGAAGTAAACTAGTCAATTGGCTGTTCCAGGCAAGAAGTTAAAAATACAATAATGCCTGAGCTTAAGAGATTCACTTGCTCATCTTCTCCCCCCTCCAAATACCCTATCTCTGGAAGAGCATAAACCAGGCAGTAACATCTAATAATCATTACACTCCTGTGGTCAGTCTCTCATTCTCTCAAGCAGGCCTGTTCAGAGAAACACTAGGAAGCTTTTACTTCCCTGTTATTAGAAAATCAACGTGCCTGGGGGAAAACATAAGGAAGCAACGGAATTAAAGACATGATAAAGAATGTGCTGCTAGGCTTTTAGACCCTCCAGGCCTGATGCGTCTACACTCCCCAGGGAAAAGATACCTGGAGCATGTCTAGTAGTCCCTGCCGACAGCCTTCTTCCATGCCATACTCATCCACGAGGATACTGCCAAGGTACAGGAAACAGGAATGCTGATGTACATGGTACACATTCACCATCTGTCAAGGGAAACAATTAGTTCAATGCTTTGCCCTTCAAAAAGTACCAACTTATGAAGCTTTCTCCAGGAAGAAATTCAGAGATTGATTGTTTTCTTCTCTTTAAGGCAATATAGTAAAACTTATTACCACTATTTTATGAAACATAGGGCTCAATTTCTCAGTAATTTTCAAGTTCTCTATTCTTCTGACCCTTTGACCTTTGATTTTCCCAAGACAACGCTGTATAGGAGTTGTCTAATACTTAAAGCTGGAAGTTCTCAGGGAGCTCACATAATATTTGCAAAACCCTAGCACAGAATATTTCATCCAGTACCTAAAGGTTGCTCTCACTTGCACCTTAGATAGGTCATATTTTTAAATAAGATATATAGCCACAGTTGGAACAACAATATCAAATGCCTTCATCTTGGAGAAGACAGTGAAGGCATAAATTTTGAGTTGCTCCTAAACCTATTTTATCTTTTAAGTAAAAAACAGTGTTTTCTATGAAGATATTTGGATTTCAACAGAGCAAATATTTTAATATAATATGCACATTACTATTTTTAAAGAGATACAGTTTTGCTCTGTTGCCCAGCCTGGAGTGCAGTGGTAAGGTCTGTGGCCTCAACCTACCAGTCTCAAGGGATCCTCCCACCTCAGCCTCCCAAGCAGCTGGGACTACACAGGTGTGCACCACTATGCCCAGCGACAATATGCATTTAAATGATTTGTTTAAAATTTTTACTCCACTATCCTCCCAGAATTAAGAAGCAATTGTACATTCACCTATTTAAAATGCCACCAAATAGATATGTATTGATCTTAATATATAAATTCAACTCTATGAACTTGGTGGGGGCTGAGAGGATATAGTAACTAATTCTTCTATCAGCATATGTCATGGAGTGAGCATGAGATGAGAGCTATGAATCCATTCCATGTTGTAAACTTAAAATTATATGCTTTACTAAGGAATGATTAAGTCAAGGGTTGCCAAACATTTTCTTAAAGGGCTATTTAGTAAAAAGTATAGATCTTGTCTGCCATTCAGTCCTTTGCACACTCAACTTTGCCAGTATAGAACAAAAATGACCACAGATAATACTTAAAGTATGGCTATAGCTCAGTAAAACATTAAATAAAAACAATAAACAAAAACAGGTGGAGGGCCCACTGTCTATAGATTGCTGGCTCCTGAGTTAAGGGATTTTTAAGGATAATTTTAATTTTTGTCACATGTACTGACTCTAGAACACACCTCCCATATAATGGTGCTACCTACTCCATTGGGTTGGTCATATACTTAACTAGCAGGAATTTAAAAACGGTATCAAAGTCAAGAGGGTATCCTCCAATAGCAAAGGGGCATTCTATCAAGTTGTAGTAGACCCAGAATGTATTGCACTGAAGGGGAAACTTGAACAGAGGTGGTAATTGCCTAAATGAAAACATTATTGTGCTCGGCATATAGTGAAAGTAGAGAAATCACTAAAAATTAAAATTCTTTTGAAATATTTACCTGTACAACCTTTAATCAAATCTACAATTTAGCGAGGTAAGGTTATCCAAGTACCAACACTGTACCAGCATGCCTGTGCCTGTGGCTGACAGCACCTAGGATGCAGAATTTAAGGGGGCACTCATGCTTAAGGCGAGTGCCTCCTTAAAACCTGCATCCTAGGTGCCCTCTCTAGGTGGAGAACTGTCACTTCAGATTGGGTGGGGTATGGCTCTAGCCTGTGACTATTTTCCTCAGAGCATGGGTACAAAATTTCACAAAGCACCTCAGAGTCCTGCAAATGCAGAATTGGCACTTTGCCTCATACCCCTAAATCTTGTGCCTTAGGCACTGGCATCCTGGCCCTGCAATAAGGTTAATATCAACACAAATTACTTAGTGACTTAAGCACAGGCATCTCATATAGTTCTAGATGAGAATATGATTTTAGAGTACATCATTTAGTGAGTCATACCATCATAATTACATATCAATCTTAATGACTAAAAGAGTCAAATTTATTTTTTAACAAATAAGAAACTTCTGTGGACAACTAACTGTGGCCAAGATTGAAGAAAATCCCTTTGGGCCAAGAAACAGCAAAGTTGGACTTGCCACATTTTTTTCCCCAAGGATATGAACAAAAAATGCTTACCATTAGTATACAAGGACTGAGCACCAGTTATTTGCTTCACAGAATTTCACACTGGACTGGACTGTGTGGCTATTTAGAATACTACTATACCTACTATACGGAAGAGATTTTAAGCTGTTTCCTTTATAGACAATGTACCTATCAAAGGCATTAATCTCTTTCAAGTTTTCTTTTGGTCTGTTAATTAATAAATAAAAAAGTGTTTCATTTCATCAGCAGAGTTTTTGTTCTAAAGGCTCCCATTCCAAATTTTTTTTTCTTTTGAGACCGAGTCTTGCTCTGTCACTCTGGCTGGAGTGCGGTGGGGCAATCTTGGCTCATTGCAACCTCCGCCTCCTGGGTTCACGTGATTCTCCTGCCTCAGCCTCCCGAGTAGCTGGGATGCCTGGCTAATTTTTGTATTTTTAGTAGAGACAGGGTTTCACCATGTTGGCCAGGCTGGTCTCGAACTCCTGACCTCAGGTGATCCACCGGCCTTGGCCTCCCAAAGTGCTGGGATTACAAGCGTGAGCTACTGCACCCAGCTTCCTATTTCAAATTCTGTACATGAAACACATGCCCCCATTAGAGACAACTTTACCTGTGTGACTAGTGGCTGCAGCAGCGCTGCAGATCCTTTGCCTACACAGCGAACAGCAAAGCGCAGGCACCTGCAACAACGCTCTACAATCCGATTATCAGCTCGGTGCTTATTTAGAGTCTCGGATAAAACTGGCCATATCTGGGTTAAAAGAAAAAAGAGCACAAGAAAGAAAATATTCAACAACTAGGACCTGAAAAACTGCTAAGTTGGTAACATCTCATTTAGTTTTTAAATAACTGGGACAAAATTTTCTTTATAGGAACACACATGGCCAGGATGCACAGGTTCAATAGACCCACCACAAAACCCTACCACTTAACAAGAGAAATAGTGCCTCTTTAAAATTGGAAGAAGAGCGTGTCTAACTTTGCTAAAAGACAGATACACAATTTTCTAAACTTTCCTGAAAAATGATGAAAAGAATGAATATGAGTTATACAGGAAGAGATGTTTAAAGATAGTTCCTAGAAGGTGGAAGACTGAACAAAAGGACCAGAGTTAAGGAAATGGCATCATCTGAGACCATTGGACACTTAAGGATATTTAGTGTTTATGTAGTTTGTCCTCTGCAGTCTCAAAAGCAATTCTTAAAACGAGACTTTTGATGCTCACATAACCCTCAGTGAAAAAAGTAGAGGGGAAATATGTCATCACTAAGAAAATTGAAGTCACTAGCTTTGCCAAAAATATTCTGCTGGTACTGATCAGTCCTACTAGCAACTCTATAGGAGGCACACAGTGAATCTCTTTCTACAACTTCTCTGGCATTTCAATGCATTACCCTGTAGCCTGTTTTGTTATCAAATCCAAAATAAAAGATATCTGGATGGCTCTTTCCCTCATTTCACTGAAAGCATATCAGCAAATTGAATCTCCCTATGAACTTGAGAGACAGTGCCTTCTCAAGTGAGTTACCCAAAGCCCTGTAAGGAAATCAGAAGCAAGCCTTGATTCCATAAGCATCCATTAGCACTTACTTCCTGTATGACTTTTTGGCACGGATGAGTCTGTCCATTTTCCACAATGGGATTGGTATGTCTGGGAAAAAAGACAAAGGCCCAAAATAGTGAATGAAGAGCAATTTCACTGAGGACCCAGAGCCCTGAGCCCTGCTTGCTTACTTAGTATCATTTTCACCAAATAAAGAAAACCAGACATTAAAGTAATTTACTTACATTACCTTTATAAGCACATACTTTAAAATCATCCTATCATTTTTTTTGGTCACCTTCAAGTCACTTCCAATAGAACACGCAAATTCAATCCAACTTTGTGTACATGGGCTGTGAGGCACTACAGATATCTTTTTCATTTTTTCCCTTAATACATTTGAGTATGGGCCAGGCACAGTGGCTCATGCCCACAATCCCAGCACTTTGGGAGGCTGAGGTGGGTAGACAACCTGAGGCTAGGAGTTTAAGACCAGCCTGACCAACATGGTGAAACCCTGTCTCTACTCAAAATACAAAAATTAGCCAGGCATGGTGGTGCATGCCTGTAATCCTAGCTACTCAGGAGACTGAGGCAGGAGAATTGCTTGAACCTGGGAGGCAGAGGTGCAGTGAGCTGAGATCACACCATTGTACTCTGGCCGGGGAACAAGTGGATGGAGTAAAAATTCAACTCAAAAAGAAAACAAACAATCAAAATACCCGAATATGCAGTTTCTTCCAAATTAACAAAAAATATACAGTTTGTCTAAATCCACTATTAGAAACCAAGTACTGCTTTAAAAGACAAGTATTCCTTGCACTAAAAGACAAAAAGCTATAGGAACTATAGTCCAAAGATGTAGTTCTAGTCTGAATCCAATGTCCCATCCACAATCAGCCAAATACAACTCCTTTGTCTAGTTCTAGAGCCCACTAATTTGAGGAAAAGCAGGAAAAAAAAACCCAGGATTAACTACCAACTACTTTAAAGGAAAGTTACTCTTTAGTTTTAAAAAGCTCAACAACTTAATAAAAATTTAACTTTCTTTAATTCAAGCATTTACATCTATTGCAGACTTTCATTTACTGTGAAATATTACTGTTAATAGGTTCCAGAATGGCCTATTAACAGGGCTCTCCTAATTATAAAAGAAAAGCATTGCACCAACTCAGAAAAAGATGCCTATTGGCAATAACTAATGAATGAAAATATTACCTTTGTTTATATTTATCCCACATTAGCTTCTACGCAATGATTACTCTAACATTCCAGTTATACGTGGTTCCCACAAATTATAAATTATGCTACCCAGTTACAACAACCCTTTGAAAACTCTCACTCAAATGCCTTTTTAATCATTAGGCTCCTCTTGACGTCAAAGACGCATTAATTTCACCTGATCACTGAAGAAGCTTCATTTTATTTTTGTACCCATACACTATATAGCAATAGTTCTGCAAGTATGGTCTCTGCAATAGCAAGCAGAATCATCAGCATTACCCGAGAATTATCAGAAATGTAAATTTTCAGGTCCTACCTACCCAAGATCCAATGAATCAGACCTCGGAGGATAGGACCTAGCAATCTGTGTTTTGATAAGGCCTGGTGATTCTGATCCATGTGAAATGATGATGCATGGGAAATTCTGGTCTTTTGGTCTCCACAGAACTGGAGTCCAAAAGAATTCCTTTTTTTTTTTTTTTGAGACAGAGGCACTGTCACCCAAACTGCAGTGCAGTGGTGTCTCAGCTCACTGCAACCTCTACCTCCCAGGTTCAAGCAATTCTCCTACCTCAGCCTCCCAAGTAGCTGGGACTATAGGTGTGTGCCAGAATGCTTAGCTAATTTTTTGTATTTTTAGTAGAGATGGGGTTTCACCGTGTTAGCCAGGATGGTCTCGATCTCCTGATCTCCTAATTCGCCCACGTCAGCCTCCCAAAGTGCTGAAATTACAGATGTGAGCCACCACACCCAGCCAAGAATCCCATTTTTAAAGAGTCTTTCTTTTTTTTGAGATGGGGTTCTTACTCTGTCACCCAGGCTAGAGTGCAGTGGCATGATCTCAGTTCACTGCAACTTCTGCTTCCCAGGCTCAAGTAATCCTCCCACCTGAGCCTCCCAAGTAGCTGGGACCACAGAGCTATGCCACCACACCCAGCTAGTTTTTTGTATTTTTGGGAGAGACAGGGTTTTGCCATGTTGCCCAGGCTGGTCAGGAACTCCTGAGCTCAAGCAATCCATCTGCTTTGGCCTCCCAAGTGCTGGGATTAAGGCACGAGCCATTGCGCCTGGCCGTCCACTTTTAAAGAGTCTTTTAACAAACACCTACCAGGAATGAATTCTTAGAATTTGCCTTTGCCCTGGAACTTAAGGTAACAGTTGGCTTAATTAGTCTTCAAACATAGGAAGATACTTGCAAGTGTGAGGAAAAAAACACCTGCTTACTTCAACACATAATGGTTTCATTTGAGCCTTTAACCCAGTAAGGCATCCAGAGTCTCCTTTCTTACCTAAATATTACGGCAAGGCGATCTAAGAACACAGTGGGATCTGAGGATATGCCATTGCTGGGCTCTTGAGACAATAGCTGAAGAGACAAAAGGACATTAACACCCAATTGTCACAGGTACAAATCTACAGCCAACACTAGAACATACATCAGCCTTTGTCTCAATCTCTGCTTATTTCCTTATATAAAGTCCTAAAAGTTACTCAAATGGTACAAATTTTAATTTATACTGTCAATTACTTTCTTCCATCTTATTGCATCCTGGCCAAGACTACATATTACTACATTTTACTGTCTGATCACTGAGGAGTAGAAAACAGTCTCAGTTGATTTTTTCCCATTACTTTAATTATAATTATACATATATTATGTAATATAGACTGCATACATGTTATGTTACACAATATGTAAAAGATTCTATATTCAGCTTTATACTGTGGCCTCTTACTCTTCTTCCCTAACATTTCTTAGATACTCCCATTAGTAAATCATCAGAGATGAACTACAGAATTATTATATCAAGTTCTAAAAACCCCATTGGTATGTCTACAGTTATTGCAATATAAACGTAACTAGAGAAGAGTTGACATCTTTAAAATATTCTTTAAGGAAACAAGGTAGGTTCTGGCATTGATTACTAACTTGAATGAATTCTTTTCCTATTATATTTTCTAACTGATGATTACCAATGTAACTAAAAATAAAATCCTAAGTCACTCACCAACTGAACAGGCCCCTCCTCTTGCCAACGGGACCCCAGAGAAACCTTAAAAATGGAGTTCTCGGCCATGACGGGAAGGGAGGTCAGACACATTTTATTATACTCCCCACCTTTTGGAGTTTAGGTAAAACTGGCCAGCATGAATGTTAAATGGAGGTAAGACTGATCAAAGACTTTTTTTTTTTTTTTTTTGGAGATGGAGTCTCCCTCTGTCGCTCAGGTTGGACTGCAGTGGTGCGATTTCAGTTCACTGCAACTTCAGCCTCTCAGGTTCAAGTGATTCTCCTACTCAGCCTCCTGAATAGCTGAGATTACAAGTGTGCACCATCATACCCGGCTAATTCTTTGTATTTTTAGTAGAGATCAGGGTTTCACCACGTTTATCAGGCTGGTCTTGAACTCACATGATCCACCTGCCTTGGCCTCCCAATGTGCTGGAATTACAGGTGTGACTCACCACGCCCAGCTGATCAAAAACTCTTTGTGGCAATAAGATACCAAATTATAAACAAGATCTGAAGTCACACAAGGCAAGAGTTAAGTCACATCTATAGATTCTTTAATCTCTGAAGCCACATATGACTTGTAAGCCCCTACTTCAAGATAGCTCATCTTTTTAGACCAAACCAATGTATACCTTCCATGTTTTATTTATGTATTTGCCTCTAACTCCTGCATCCCTGAAATGTATAAAACTAAGCCATAATCCCACCACCTCAAGCACACTTTCTCAGAACTCCTCCAGACTGGGTTTCTCTGGGCCGTGTTCACTCATATTGGCTCAGGATAAACCTCTTTAAAATATTTTATAAAATTTGGTTTTTGCGTTAACACTGATACAGTGAGAATCCATTAATTCTGAAATACCTATTTCTTGTATGCAGCTACTTTGATAGCATTATTAATTTTAATAAATTCTTAGTGCATTTTCTTGGATTTTCTAGGTAGATAAAATATCTATAAAATAAGCAATTTTGTTGTTTCATTTTTAACATGTAAATGTCTTATATTTGTTTCACACCTTCCTTAATCAGACTTACCTTTTTCAATGCCATAACCTGAACAGAACATAGTTCACTAAGACATTCAGTAATCTTTTCCAAAGGTAATCGGGCTAGAACAAGTGCTGTCCCTGAAAAACAAAGGAAGATGCAAATGAAAAATAAATGTTGAATTGAGGTAACTCAACAGGTCTCTATCACATGAGTGAACAGAAAAAGTGAAACAATGCTGATTCTTAAAAAGAATCCTTGTTGTTTAAAATTACAACACTTTGTTTTTTACAGTTGCTTTTTCTTTATTTGGCTCAGAAGGCTAAGAATAACTGACACAACCGAAGTTAATATTTGTCAGACTTTTAAAATCTCCTTCACAAAGCCAATGGCAAACCTATTTCAAAATGTATACCACAGTGTAATGTTTCTCAAACTTCCCAGAGATTCTGATTTAGTGGGTCAAAGAGAGTCTTCATTTTTGATAAGTACTTCTGGCAATTCTTATCATAAGAGAAATTCTGACATAATGCTTTTAGAAGAATGGCTGAAATTAGAGATTTCACTCTTACAATATAACACTCTCTGTAAGGTTATGAAAGACATTTTCTCTGGGCCTCAATTTCTTTATGAAATAAGAGACTTGAACAGCCAAGTAACAGTTAAATTTGCCTTTGTTTCTTTTAAAAAATAATTGTTACAAAAGCCTCCCACCCCCTACTTGTTTTTCCCTCCTAAACAAAATCTTGACTTGCAACTCCAATAAAATAGGTTAAAAAAAAACCCAAAAGAGGCAGTTCTAGGTTCCAGTGGAGACAGAAGGCCCAGATCCTTCCTACTCAGCCTCCCACTTGCTGCAATCTCCATTCTATCCCTACCAACCGCTGAAACACCTTCCCGAAATCCAAAGGATTACATATTATAATGCCTAGGTCCCTTCTAGGTCAAAAAACACCTTGAATATAAATGTTTTCATTTCCTGTAGTTTCATTCAGCAGAACAGTAATTTATCCCTAAATCTTCAAATTTGAATAATTTAAAAAAAAACAGTGAGTCATCTTAGCACTGTATAAGCCATAGATGAGTTAGACTTTTCTTTAAAACTAGGAGGGAAAAGCCTATTCCTTTTAATTAATTCCTACAGAAAAGTATGTTACTGTAAAAAGTTTTCAGCCAGGCGTGGTGGCTCATGCCTGGTATCTCAGTACTTTGGGAGGCCAAGACGGGAGGATCACTTGAAGCCAGGAGTTCAAGACCAGCCTTGGCTACACAGCAAGACCTTGTCTCTACTAAAAATTTAAAAAATTAGCTGAGCATAGTGGTGTGCACCTGTAGTCCTTGCCACTTGGAAAGCTGAAACAGAAGTATCACTTGAGTCTAGGAGTTCAAGGTTACAGTGAGCTATGATCATGCCACTGCATCCCAACCTGGCAAAAAGCAAGACCTTGTCTCTTAAAAAAAAACAACAAAAAAAAACAAAAATAAATAAAACTGAAAAACATTTTCTACATCTATTAGATACCACTGATAATTGGGAGGCCACATTGTACTACAGGTTAGACATCACTTCAATATGAAGGTTAAATTCCAATAGAAAATGACAAGAATATTTGATTTATCTGTGCCTTTGAAGGGAAACAAAAAACAACCCAAAGTACAGAAAGAAAATCTGAGACAAAAAACACAGTCACAGTAGCTGGTAAGGAATCTGGTCATACGAATGACAAAGGACAGAATTCACAAATAAGGCCATCCACTCTTGTCAAGGCTAATTGTTTAACAAGTCACATAAGCTTAGAAGATACCACACAGGTTATTTTACCCAATCCTTTATTTAATATACCTCAATCCTCTCTAATCTACCAGTAGTAAGAATTTCATTACCTCACAGGGCACCCCAATCTGTGTTCACAAAGTATGGTTAGAGTGTTTGCTTCCTAGGAGACAGTATATGCTTCTCTATAAATGGCTGACAGGTAACTACTCATAAAATAAATATGATCCTTCTTTGAAAAGATCATCTCTCAAACATTTAAAAATAGCCATCACGCTTAAAGACTGTTCTTTTTCCCTAGCCTTAATTTCTCTAGTTCTATTAAGTCTGAGCCTCATCATCATAATGTCTGTTTGCCTCTTGATAGACAATTCCTGAGTATAAGCTAATCAGTAATGGTTAAAGGTTACTAAGAGACCAGGACCCCTGACTTCTGCTTAACGGCACTGATCCATGTATGCTACCTTTCAAATCCCCCTTCCCTCTTTGGTATAGCGATGCTTCTGTGGTCTCCCTTTTTATTCTTCCAACTTAAAAACCAACCATGTTTAGTTTTAATATGTTGTCTCTACCCAAATCTAGGTCTGTGCTATACATACTGCAAGTAGTATTAATTATATAGCCTTAAGATAGTTTAAGAAAAGAATCATGTACATATATATAGTCAACACTACCCCATCTAGTGGAAAAGCCACCTTCCCCATCACTAATACATTGCAACTGAAAAACTGAGATATGACAGATGTAAGATTACCCCAAGTAGTGGCTATGAGGTGACTATTAATGGTTAACATCAAGTAAATACCTTTTAGCAAGCCCACAGCAGCTTCTGGAGACAATAGGAAGGAATCAAGGGAACGGGCAATCTCCAGGAGTCCATTAAAGTGCTGAGCCATGTGATCTCGGCAGACAGAGCAAATGTTATGAATGGCTTTTGCTGCAGCAGAAGCCAGGGGCTTTTCACACAGGCCTTTCATCAAATAGCCCAACACAGGGTCTAAGAAGAAAAGCAAGCAGAGATTACGTATCTGAAACTAAAGGAAAACTTGTAGTTTGTTAGAACAGAGATATACTTGCTTTTCTTTTTTTAAAGCAAAAGAACCCCTTTAAAAAGCAAAATGTGTTCAGAATCACAATAAATACAACACATAAAAATGGAGCTGATCTCACTTACATATTGTCAATAGGCCCTGAGCCTCATCTACTTCATCTTCCATTTCTTCCCTCAGGGCAGTCAACTGGACTCATAGAGCAGCTTGTAAACCACTGACTAAGAGCATATATGGTAATCCAGGTATTAAAAATATGGCAATGTAAAGAAGAATGCAAAGCTCAGAGAGTTACAATTATACCAAGAGGTGAATTACTCAGTAAAACAAGATTTATGAATTAGGACAAGGATAGGTATCTGAAGCTGAAACTTGCATTTGCTTCTTTCTAGTTACAAAAGGCCTTAAAATATGCAGATGAATTATCAGCACTTCTAGATGAATTAATTCACTATGTTTTAATTTTATCAAATATAAGTGTTGCAAGAAAGTTTATTATAAAGTTGAATTTCTATTGAGCTAATTATACTCATCTTTTTAGCATCTTTTATAAAAATCAGTATGTTTTTCTATGGGGAAAAAACCTTTAGAAAAACCGTGTGTGTGTGTGTGTGTGTGTGTGTGTGTGTGTGTGTGTTTTCTCTAAGGGATATATATATACACATATATTTTCCTGGGGACAGTGTTTGTCTCACAGGCTGGAGTACAGTGGTGTCATCTCAGCTCACTGCAACCTCTGCCTCGTGGGTTCAAGCAATTCTCTTGCCTCAGCCTCCCAAGTAGCTGGGACTACAGGCATGCACCACCACGCCCTGCTAATTTTTGTACTTTTAGTAGAGACAATGTTTCACTATGTTGGTCAGGCTGATGTCAAACTATTGGCCTCAAGTGATTCACCTGACTCAGCCTCCCCAGGTGCTGGGATTACCACGGTGCCTGGCCAAAACGCCATATATTGTTAAAGGTCATTGTGAGTACTTTAGATTGACCTTGTAGCAAACTGTGAAAAAGTATAAAGAACCAAAAGAATAATGTCTTTTTTTTTTAAGATGGAGTCTTGCTCTGTCAACCAGGCTGAAGTGCAGTGGCACAATCTCGGCTCACTGCAACCTCTGCCTCCTGGGTTCAAGTGATTCTCCCTGCCTCAGCCTCCCAAGTAGCTGGGATTATAGGCATGCACCACCATGCATGGCTAACCTTTTTGTATTTTTAGTAGAGACGGGGTTTCACCTGTTGGCCAGGCTGGTCTCAAATTCCTGAACTCAGATGTTCACTTGCCTCAGTCTCCCAAAGCGCTGGGATTACAGGCATGAACCACCACACCCGGCTAAGAATAATGTCTTAAAGCCCATTTAAAACAATTATGTTCATTTTTAGTCTAACAATCAATACAATGTCCAAACTCAGCACAACCTGCCCTACCTCCACCAAAAAGAAAAAACCAAAACCAAAACCCAACCCTGTTTAGTTCAGGGATCAAAAGACCTAGACTCTAGAACCTAGCTCAAGCAACTCTAATAATGTAGACTTCTGTGATTCTCAATTGGGTATTTGTGGTTTTGACTATTCTGAGAATGAACATAGAGCAGTCTGTCTACTGCTAAGGCACAAATCTGAATGAGACACTTCGAGGAAGGTGGCACTGAATGATAAATCTTTTGATAAGAGTCTGCAATTCAACCTAGATTTGCTGCTTTCTGGAAATTAACTGAAGGTATTAAAACACACAAATAAATCTACCATGTTTCTTGGTAGAAAAACAGTTCAGAAAAGAAAGCCAAATATTGAGCCAGATAAAGTGCAGAAATCTAAGAACTAGAAAAAAGGCATTTTGAAAACACTTGGAAATAGTATGCTGGGCCGGGTGTGGTGGCTCACGCCTGTAATCCTAGCACTTTGGGAGCCCAAAGCGGGAGGATCACTTCAGGTCAGGAGTTCAAGACTAGCCTGACCAACATGGTGAAATCCTGTCTCTACTAAAAAATACAGAAAACAGTGGGCATAGTGGCATGCACTTGTAATCCCAGCTACTCGGGAGGCTGAGGCAGGAGAATCACTTGAATCTGGGAGGTAGAGGTTGTAGTGAGCTGAGATCACGCCATTGCACTCCAGCCTGGGCAACAAAATGAAACTCTATCTCAAAAAAAAAAAAAACAGACAGACAGAAATAGCATGTTGAACTTAGAAAGCAGCTCACTGTATAGAAACAAAGAACACCTTCACTTTTTAGCATGTCTTTCAGTCAATAAAAACAGATGGGTAAAATAAAATCTAGTAAAATGATGATAATAAAGATATACACAGGAAACACCTCAAATTTAATGATACAATACTAATCACAAATTTTGGCATTACTAAAATTCTCAGAATGTATCCCTCTTAAAAGTCAGGACTTGATATATATTACCCTGGATAAGTTATTTAGTCTCTTTGGGCCTCAGTTTCCTTGTCTATAAAATGAGGAGGTTAGAATAAATGACTTCTAATTTTATCTTTAATTCTAAACTTGTTACTTATGATCTTTAGTTATTTTTTCAAGTCAGTAGGACAGCCAGTGGTTATATAATAGTCTTCATTTTAATTTGTCATTATTTAGTTTTGAATACTAATTCTTGGTTTTTAAATGGAGCATGTATTACAAGTGAAAAATTACCTCCTTTGCTTTGGCTCTTTAGAAGCTTCTAGTAGGTCAGAACTGTGAGAGAGTTTGTTTAGCTTAAGCATATTGCAAAGACTATCAGAGACATAAACGTTCATGCTTAAACAGACTACTAGAAGCTAACCGTTCAGTTTCTTTATCTGTAGATTTAATCTTTCAAAAGTCTCTTCTCCCAGATTAGACTATGTTATATCAACTAAGCACTAATTTAGGATATATTGTTTACTCTGTTTCTATAAACATTCTGTTAAAAAAAAAAAGAAACAGAAAGAAAACAAATGCAAAAGTAAGAGATGAGAAGAAAAATCAGAAAAATGACAAGTTAACAGTGGCAGAGGAGAGAGATCACACATACCAAGGAACTGAGGATTTCGATCAACTACTTCACTCATCTCTCCAACCAATTCAATGCTGGTGTATCGCACAGCTGTATGTACAGTCTCTGGAAGGCGGACAACTCCTTCTAGGACTTCCACAAGTGTTGGATTGTTCTCCCTGAGTACAGACAGTAAGTACTCATAGTTACTGATTTCAGAAGTTATATTCTGGCCAAATAACAGCCTGTGATGACACATAGCATTGCTAAAAGGCTTCTTTCTAAATAACCATTAAGATAAAAGTACTTGGTATTTGTTATGAAAGATTTTCAAATTCTCAAAAAAGGGGAAAAGACAGAAATGAAAGATACTGTTTCAGAAAAAACATACTGCTCCTTAATCTTCTGAATGCCAGTAAAGTGTCTAAAGACACACCAAGCTATCAAACACAGGCTCTTTAAATTGGAGAGGCAGACATTTACTGTGGATGAATGTCTTCTTTTAAAGGATTTATTTTATTTATTCCTATAGCTGCAGCACCTAGAACAGTGCCTGGCACATAGTGGGCACTCAATAAATATTGCTGAATGGCTAATCAGATGAATGAATAATTCTCATAGACTACTCTCTGTTGTTATTCTCCAAAAGATTTCTTATAGCTGGATATTGGAAACTTTAAGAACAGGTGAGTATGGGTAGCCAGCTTACTAACTGAAACAAGAAAACAAGCTGCAGAAATAGGTTAAGGTGCCCCGATTTGGAACATGAGGAAAATTAACCAAACACTTTCCACAGCTCCTGTTCCCTCACCTTCTCCCCCTGCCCGCCACAAACTATACTGGCTAAAGGCCTTTTGAGTAGAGTGGAGAATGCCTCTAAAATGGCACAACTTAATCCAGAAATGAAGATGTTTCAAATGTAAATAATGTCCTGGATTAGAGCAAGATTACCCTCTGCTGATAAACTAGGTCTATTAAGTCCTTTTATATGCACTAAAAAAATTATAATCATGCAGTTGGCTTGAAACGCAGATAAACAGAAAAATGTATCAAATATCTCATTTATGCCTTATATTTCGTAGGGACACTAGGCCAATTAATGAAGACTATCATTTTTCAAACCAAGACATATTAGACTATTAATGATTTTAATAATCTTCAGACTTATCACAGAAGGGTCAAAATGACACCAAAATGGGTTTAAGAGTAAATAGTGCGATATGTATGTAATAAAGGACCAGAACTTCTTAACAGAGAAAAATAAACCTATTCTACCTCCTTGAATATTTACTGGATTAGAAACAATATAAGATCTCACTGAGGCCCTGAAAGGCAGCTAAGAAAGAAGCACTGTGCTTTTTATAAATATCTGCCTTAATGATCTCTCCAATCACGACTGAATACCTGCTTGATTGCAGGTATCAGATCACAATTCAATGTGGAAAATACTAACATAATTTATATACTCATGGCACAAAGTAAATAGAATTTCTATGCTATACAATTATAAGTAAAATTTGAACAATTTGAAATTTTTCAATAGCCATAACCAAACTAGTAATTGCCCTTTAGATCTGGCTCTTTTAGGTGAAAAGATGCCTATGCCTTGCCTCTCTGAAACTCAAAACAATGTGATTAATTTTGTAAGAATAACTTACCCAAGGTCACAAAAGCGGGAAACCCATTATTCAATTGCTTTTAAGCAAGTACCAAGAATTAAACATTCTAACAAATTCTTTACCATACCAACTTTCACAAGGGAGCCTCAGTTGGAAAAATAAATCGGCATTCCATTCCTAGCATCAAGAATAGAATAATTTCAGCTCTAGGAATTATGGTTAAAATACAGTATCAGCAATTCAGGCTACCTGGACTAGACTCCAGAATTCAGAAGACTAGACAGCACAACAGAAGTGAGAAGTTCTAAAAGTCTCCAGTTATATACCATATAAGAAAAAAATAGTGTAATTTTCCTTCCTCTTGATATTTAGTTCCCAGCAAAAGACTTAGGAGACACTCACGGATCAACACTCTTTGCTATAGCAGCCATGATAAAGAGAACCGCTTCTGTCACCTCCCAGGGTGGGTTGCCTTCTTTCAGAGTAGAATATAACTAGAGAAGAAGAGGTGGATTATGCATCCATTAAATGGAAAACAATGCCAAAACAAACCAAACAAAAAATCCAGTTAAAGTAAACCCTGCTCCCTGCTTCTAAATTTAATTATCTCTCAAGCCAGACAAGAATATTATTTTCATTTTTTTACATCATCACTAACTAGAGTAACTATTTTAATATTTGAAATAAACCGATTTAGAATCCCAAGAGTTTATCAAAATTATCATCTGCCCCCAGAAAATGACTGCTATGAGAAAAACAAAACACAGTACATGAGTGTCTTTTCCTGGTCCTGATAATAACTGACAAATACATAAACACATTTAAAATGGAGACACAATCTAAATCCTCTGCATATGTATTGGCTTTAAATTTCTATTGTTTTAAACTACTTGTTTGCATTAACACTGGTAGTATTGATAAAATTCCTAAAAAACAGCTGTTTAGAAGCACCTATCACAATACTGTATCCAAGCAGAATTTAACTTTTTTTTTTTTTTTTTTTAAAAAGGTACACCTTGCAGAATACTCAGAGATGTTCTGGTCCAGAATTTCCCAGATTATATCCACCTACAGAATGTGACTAAATAATATTTTTACAGTCAAATAACAGATACTGCTAGGGAAGGCAAAATTAAACAGCTCTCTTGTTATACAACTTCATAGAGCCTTTAATACACTATTTACATCATTTCTTAACTTTCATTAATGATATAACTTTTTTTGGCAAAAAACATCTCATGAGACTTGTGTTCCACAACTATATCTTGAACAACATTGACAATTTACATAAATTTGTATAGTAAGTCTGGAGAAGATCAAAGGATTTCACAAAGCTATAGAGTCAAAGAAAAAAGAGCCAAATGAAATCTGAGGAGAGGTCATCTGTCTAAGATCCAGGGATCTCATGTAAGTGGTTTTCTAAGAATCCCCAACTCTTCCTAGATGGGTCAATAAGTATGCTTTGCTTAATGAAAATAGTTACACTTTTATTAACACTTTCTACATCGTATTATGCCCATATATACAAAAAATCAGTTACAAAAAAAAATTTAGGTTAATTCAGTATTGCTGTGACAAAACTTCTAAAGTGGTATTCAGAGCTCATTAGAGTATAATCCAGCAATATAGAAACCACCTGAAATTATACTAATGTTAAGTGATATGGAATGATGATGATTGTAACCTTATTAAGTAAAAATGTTACTCACTGATTGTCAGGAAAACCTCTGGACTATGAATCTTCTACTCTAGCATAGTCATCTCTGGGATGAAAGTGCACAGGAATCTAACCATAAGCATGGACAAAGATAATGCCAAATAACTAAAAGAGTTACCAGGAGTTGGTACATAATTACTAAAGCAGAAACACTTGCCTATTGTTCCTGGCTAGGTCCAAATTCCCTATAAGTATCCTAGAGCTTATCTATGATCTTCTATTCCAGCTGTACAAGTGGAACAGCTCTCATTGTTAAGCATATAGAGTAAACCATCCAGAGACTACAACTGACGTGTAAAATGTTAAATAAACATAGCTACTATATGCCAGGCATTGTGCTAGGCACTTGCACATCTATTATCTCATTCAGCCACTAAGACTGAAGAAATAAGATGGAACATTTACCAAAGACACAGAAGTGAACACAATTAAGGTGATCAGTAAAACTGGAAACAATCTCCAAATAGGCTTACCTGAGTGAAACACTCCATAGACCCTATCAAGAAAATCAAGTCCTTTACCAGGTCTGACACCCTCATCCGAAACTCCCCAAAGTCATCAGTCTCCTCAGGAACCCCCTCCTAAAATTTCAAATCAGATATCATTTGTTTTAAACTCACTGCAGCTTTCAATGACCTCTATAAAATCAAGAATCAACCCAGAATTTTTACTTAAATCATTAAGCAGTCAAGTTTCAATGAACAAAAGTTGCCTAAATCACAAGGGTATTTTATTATAGACAGAGGATTTCCCAAATATGCCAAGTCAACACAACCTATTCTCTGCCTTTACCACAAGAAACTCTTTTATTTGTGTGTGTGTTTTGTGTATCTTTTTTCTTTTCAGATGGAGCCTCACTCTGTCACCCGGGCTGGAGTGCAGTGGCACAATCTCTGCTCACTGCAACCTCTGCCTCCTGAATTCCAGCGATTCTCCTGCCTCAGCCTCCCAGGTAACTAGGATTACAGGCATGAGCCACCTGCCTGGCTAATTTTTGTATTTTTAGTAGAGATGGGGTTTCACCATGTTGGCCAGGCTGGTCTCAAACTCCTGACCTCAGGTGATCTACCCACCTCGGCCTCCAAAAGTGCCAGGATTACGGGCGTTAGCCACCATGCCCCGGCCATATTCTGTATTTCCTAGCTACAGCTTATTATGTTGTTGGAAAAATGTGGTTTGGTGAGAGTGAGAAGCGACCTGGAAGTGGTAAATTAAGTGATAAGCCTATCTAAAGAAGATGCCAAACAAACTCTGAAGATTTATGTTTCCAGATCTACCAAAATCAACCACTGTCACAATAACTTCATACAGAAAATAAAATTTTACTTTTATATTTGAGACAAGGTCTCGCTCTGTTGCCCAGGCTGGAGTGCAGTGACATGATCTCAGCTCACTGCAGCCTTGACCTTGTGGGCTCACTATACAAATTATAAAGCATGATACACTTACAAGTGTAAGAAATTACCCACAAAGGAAATGGTGCCACAGAATTAGCAAAGGCAAAAAAGGGATTAAGCATTAGAGTCATTTAAACCAAAGGGGCCCTGCTTTATAAATCAGGCTTCCAAGTAAAATATAGTTGATGATAGGATTCTTCACTTATTTATTTTTGAGACAGAGCCTTTCTTGCTCTATCGCCCAGGTTGGGGTGCAGTGGCACAATCTTGGCTCACCGCAACCTCTGCCTCCTGGATTCAAGCGATTCTCCTGCCTCAGCCCCCCCCCCCGAGCAGCTGGGATTACAGGCACCTGCCACCATGCCCAGCTAATTTTTGTATTTTTAGTAGAGTTGCGTTTTCACCATGTTGGCCAGGTTGGACTCCTGACCTCAAAGGATCCGCCTGCCTCGGCCTCCCAAAGTGCTGGGATTACAGGCATGAGCCACCACTCAAGGCCAGATTTTTCACTTTGAAAAAAGCAGGGGTGGCTAAAGTTTGAAAACCACTAGACTAGATCATGACTAACGTTCTGTGGATACACAAAATACCATGACTCAAACACAATATTAACATTAAAATTAAGAGAATAGCATGTCGAATTTAACTGTAAGCAATGAAACTTACTCTAGGTCCTACATTAAAGACGGATTCAACCAACCAACAGGATGAAATAAATGTGGCAAAATTTGAAAAGACTAAGCATAAAGTTTGAAGAGTTTTCTCATAAATTAATAATATTTCCAGTTTTTTCTAAGCAAATTATTTCTTTATTTTCTTTAAAACTATAAAATCAGTATAAATAAGATCTGTAAAATGTGTATGTTTATGGGGGAAAATCATACACAAAAATATTTCACTTTTGTATTAGTTTTCATCTCACCACTTATTTTCTACTATTAATAAGAGTACAAAATTAAGAGTACTATTAATAAGAGTACATTCTAATTTTTCTCTTGCCAATACTACTTTTAAACTGCTACATCAAGTTCCTAAATCATAATTCACATAACTTTTCTTATACTGCTATACATAGGTTTATAATTTTTATTTTTATAGATAACATTTGTACATAAAATGGCTATTTTTTCTTCTGCAGATTTAAGATAAATTCCTAGGAAAAGAATTACTAGTTTAGCTAGAGTGGTTTTTTTCCCCTAAATAGGCCTAACAGATGATACTGGTACTGACTTCTTCAGTTTAAGCTGTAGAGTGACAAAACCTGCTGATCCTCCCACCTCAGCCTCCTGAGTAGTTAGGACTACATGTGTGTACCACCAGGCCCGGCTAATTTTTTAATTTCTTTTTGTAGAGACAGGGGTCTCCCTACGTTGCCCAGGCTGGTCATGAACTCCTGGGCTCAAGCGATCCATCTGCCTCGCCCTCCCAAAGTGCTGGACTAGAGGCTGAATCACGGTGCCCTGCCAGGTTTATTATCTAACTTCTTGGTTCTTTTTCAAGTTCACACTGACCGGAAAAGAAAACAAAGATTTGCAGAAGTAGAGAAGGGAACTTACATGGTCTGGTTCCAGCTGGCAGTGTCGAGCCAAGGCGTGAAGCAGCCTCTGAATATAAGCTTTGAAGATGCCATGAATAACTTCATCGTTAGTTTTGTACAAATGCTCCCCTAGTCGGTACCAAAAGTTAAAGGAAATTTCTACTACCTGTTAGATTAAAAGAAAAGAGATGATTTATTTGAATGGGAAAGAAATAGAGGCCGGGCGCGGTGGCTCAAGCCTGTAATCCCAGCACTTTGGGAGGCCAAGGTGGGTGGATCACAAGGTCAAGAGATCGAGACCATCCTGGTCAACACGGTGAAACTCCGTCTCTACTAAAAATACGAAAAATTAGCTGGGCATGGTGGCGCATGCCTGTAATCCCAGCTACTCAGGAGGCTGAGGCAGAATTGCCTGAACCCAGGAAGTGGAGGTTGCGGTGAGCCGAGATCGCGCCATTGCACTCCAGCCTGGGTATCAAGCGCAAAACTCCGTCTCAAAAAAAAAAAAAAAAGGAGAAATAGAGTAAAATGATACTTTTTTATTATCACCACAACCGCATAGGAAGGAAGATATATTTTTAAATAATATGAGTGGAGCCAGTTAAGAAGCCACCTTTTCTCTAGCAGATTTAGTATCATCCCCTCAAACTGTCCATTTACAATGACTGGCTTTACATTCCATTTAGCCCTGAGGTAGTATCTCTAAAAGTAGACTGAATTTTGAATTTAGAGAAAATGATAACAGACATGGAAGTCCTTATTATTTATTTATTTTTTAGAGATAGAATTTTATTCTATTGCCTGGCTAGAGTGCAGTGGCGCGAACACAGCTAACTGCTGCCTCAACCTCCTGGGCTCAAGGGATCCTCCTGCCTCAGCCTTCCAAGTAGCTGAGACTAGAGGTATGCACCACCAAGCCCAGCTAACTTTTTAATTTTTTTTTTTTTTTTAGTAGAAACAGGGTCTTACCATCCAGCCCAGGATGGTTTTAAAACTCCTGGCCTCAAGTAACGCTCCCACCTAAATCTCCCAAAGTGCTGGAACTACAGTAGGCATGAGACACCACATTCAGTTTTATTTTATTTAAAACAAAAATTAGCCAGGCATGTATGTGGTGTATGCCTGTATTCCCAGCTACTGGGAAGGCTGAGGTCGGAGGATCACCTGAGACCAGGAGGTTGAGGCTGCAGTGAGCCGTGATCACACCACAGCATTCCAGCCTGGGAGACAGAGTAAGACCCTGTCTCAAAAAATACATGTTTTCTTTAGAGATGAGGTCACCTAGGCTGGAGTGCAGTGGCATGATCTTGGCTCACTGCAGCCTTGAACTTCTGGGCTCAAGTGATCCTTCCACACAGCCTCCTGAGTAGCTAAGGACTACAAGCGCTTGCCACCATGTCTGGCTAATTTTTAAAATTTTCTGTAGAGACAGGGTCTTGCTCTGCCACCTAGGCTAGAGTGTAGTGGTGTAATCACGGCTCACTGCAGCTTCGAACTCCTAGGCCCAAGTGAGCCTCCTGCTCAGCACTACGTAGACCCAGCTAATTTTAAAAAATTTCTGTAGAGACAAGGTCTTACTATGTTGCCCAGGCTGGTCTTGAACTCCTGGGCTCAAGCGATCCTCCCACCTCAGCCTCCTAAAGTGTTGGGATTAGAGGTATGAACCACTATGCTCAGCTAGAAGTCTTTTTTAAAGTATTTTTCTGAAAATTCTGAAATGATTTCATTGAATGTTTGAGATTAGAACATTTCTTACTTGGCAAACCATCTGTAACTCACTGAACATAACTGATTCAGCTTCATGTCACTTTTATTCACCTGCTTTTTTTGAGTGAGAGAGAGAGGAAGAAAAAGCCTGGGACTTTACTCACAGTCTCTTTTCCATATGGCACTGTTTACAGGAGTGATAAGGGTGTGGTGTTATACTTCTGCCAGAAATGTTTTGGGTTTCACTCAAATCTAGGTATCCTCATGATTTATGTAAAACAAATAAACCTTGTCTTGTATTTGATAACAGAAAAAGGGGTGAGTTACAGGACCACAGTGCCTAAGGCAGTATAAAAGGCCTCCCACCCTTTCCCCACCAAGGATCCAAAACAGAGCTATTTAAAACAATGTCCAACTTGGGAGCACTTCTTTCTCACTTTTTCTTTTTTTTTGAGATGGAGTTTTGCTCTTGTCACCCAGGCTGGAGTGAGTGACCAATCTCCGCTCACTGCAACCTCTGCTTCCCAGGTTCAAGCAATTATCCTAACTCATCCTCCCAAGTAGCTGAGATTATAGGTATGAGCCATCACAACCAGCTAATTTTTGTATGTTTAGTGAATATGGGTTTCCCCATGTTGGAAAGGCTGGTCTCGAACTCCTAACCTCAGGTGATCCACCCACCTCGGCTTCCCAGAGTGCTGGGATTACAGGCGTGAGCCACCATGCCTGGCCCTTTTTCATTTCTTATACTATAAAGAGGTAAAATTTCTCAAATAAATGATATTTTTAAAAATCTAGCAAACCTAAAAGAGGTAGGTAGGGTGTCCAAGGATTCTGAATGACAGAGACCCTTATAAGTCTTTTCAATTCCTTTTTCATTCTCATCCATCATTTGGAGAAAAATTTGAGGTGTTCAGACTTGTGGAGGTATAGTGAGGATTTGGTGGTTTTTAGCTATAAAGCTCTAGAGACAAGCTAGACAAGGGGTTCGGTGGAAAGGCTTGCTTTCTAATGAGTTCCTTGAGGGACCTACAACAGTCAGCCCAGCTAACCAGGTAACAAAATAGAAATGGACACAACACAGAAACCCAAATCTAATTTTTTTTTTAATTCCAAAACAGAGGAAATCACGTTAATTAAAAACAAGACTATAATTTCTCAAGAATAAAAAGGTGGGCACGAGGTAATGAAATACAGATAATATGCAGCACACAACTTGGAGAATAACGGCCTTAGCATAGTATAAACACTACCTCATACTGAGGATGTCCTGCACAGATAAGAAGCAGCTCCAGAGTTCGGAGGTCCCCAAGACCTTGGCCTGGAGTACAAACAATTTTTTCAAGAAAAGTTTCACATAGTTCAGTGAAAATACGGCAGTAATTCAGAACTCTGTAGAAGATAGGGGAATGAGAGCAACGAGTCAGAAATCTGGATATTGTAAGTATATACAGGCACAGTTAATCAAATAAATAATAGGTTCCCCAGTCTAAGGGACATCTAGTGATTATCTGCTATGCTGTATCACAATCTCCATGACAGACACCTTTATCTAGATAATATACTCTTAGACATGTGACTTGTCAGTTCAAATTCTCAATTATTAAAATATTTGAATAAAAATTCCCATCAAATCGCACTTGATATTTTAAAGTCTGCCTCTAATTTTTAAAGCCTTACCCTCTCTATGGTAATTCTACAAACTCTGTATCCAATTTGTCACTCTAGGTTCAGATGAGAATAGCAGAGCATCTTTAGGAAGTACTATGTATATTTACAGAATCACCAAGAATCACAAATGACAGATAAATAATAAAAAGTGACTTAAAAGAATGACCAGACTGTAGGTAAACCCAGGGCTCCAGACTTAAACAATTACCCACTTGTCTAAATCTTCACGTGCCACAGCCATATGATAGGCAGTCTCCAATGTCAGCACTCCCTGAAAAAGCTGCATGGCTAATGGCAAGTTAGTCTCCACATTCTCAATGGCATAGAGAGCTGAGCATACACAGTCTGAAGCAGCTTCATGTAGGTTAGATGAGGTCTTGTCCTGTTGCTGGGGAGGTAGCAGGAATAAGAAAACATGTATGATAACTAAAGAGTGATCTACAGTTGGCCCTGCACACCCTTGGGTTTGACCAACCATCGATAGAAAATATTCAAAATATAAGTAAGTAGTAATAATACAATGAAAAACACAAACTTAAAAGTCACCATATAACAACTATTTAAAAAGCATTTACATTGTATTAGGTATTGTAAGTAATCTAGAGGTGTTTTGGGTATATAGGAAGATGTAGGTAGGTTACATGCAAATACTACACCATTTTACGTATGGGATTCGGGCATCTGCATATTTTGGGAACTGCACAGAGGGGCAGGGGTGGTGGATGGTCCTGGAACGAATCCTTTAAGGATCGTAATGGATGACTGTAATAGGAAAACAATTAGAGCTTCTTTCTTTCTAATTATAGCCTCTTTCTGAATATGTACTTTAAATGTGTAACAGTCAAGTGACAGCCTTCCATGAGACAACATCCATCCATCTTCCCAATCCTATTTCTTTTCTTTTTTTTTTTTTTTTTTTTTTTTTTGAGATGACAGAGTCTTACTCTATCACAGAGGCTGGAGTGCAGTGGCACGATCTCGGCTCACTGCAACCTCTGCCACCCAGGTTCAAGCCATTCTCTTGCCTCAGCCTCCCGAGTAGCTGGGATTACAGGCACCTGGCACCGTGCTCAGCTAATTTTTGTATTTTTAGTAGAGACAGGGTTTCTCCATCTTGGCCAGGCTTGTCTTGAACTTCTAAACTCATGATCCACCTGCCTCAGCCTCCCAAAGTTCTGGGATTACAGGAGTGAGCCACCGTGCCCAGCCCCTAATCCTATTTCTATCTCCTTATACGTCAAGCAAATCAGCTTTTCTGTCCCTCATTTATGGTCATATCATTTCTAATCTTCATGTTCTTGTTCACACCAGCCCCAACAATAGAACGCCATGTGTTCATTACCAAGTGTGAATATCTTTCCATCCTTTTTCTGATATTCAAGTACTACCTAAAATGAAAGGGCTAAACAAGTACCAAAGACACATACCTAAACACATCATTGTGGAATTTCAGAATACCAAAGTTAAACAAAGATCTATAAAATTTCTGTGAAAGAGAGAAGGAGGTAATAGTAAGGAGAAGAAATCAGAGTTCTCCAACTTTCATTAACAATAATAATGCATGCTAGTAAAGGAGAGCAAGGCCTTTAAAATTCTGAAGGAAAATAATATTCAAGCCATCAATCAAGATTGAAAGCAAAATTAAAATAGTTCTCAGGTATACAAAAATTCGAATTTTACTTTCCATTATATCTTTTCTGAAGAAGTTATTTGAGGGGTTTTGAAAAACAGCTAATCGAATCCAGAAAGCACAGTAAAGGCAAGTCCCAAGATGACAAGATCTTGGGGAGTAAATCTAAAGAACAACTGATGATGCTGGGCGCGGTGGCTCATGCCTGTAATCCCAGCACTCTGTAAGGCCGAGGCAGACGGATCACAAGGTCAAGAGGTCAAGACCAGCTGGCCAATATGGTGAAACCCTATCTCTACTAAAAATACAAAAATGAGCCAGGCATGGTGGCGCGCCCGTGTAGTCCCAGCTACTCGAGAGCTGAAGCAGGAGAATCACTTGAGCCAGGGAGGTGGAGGTTGCAGTGAACTGAGACTGTGCCACTGCACTCCAGCCTGGGCAAGAGAGCAAGACTCTGTCTCCAAAAAAAAAAAAAACCCAACAACAACTGATGTAAATCAGAGCAGACCAAAAGGTCCAGGGGAATCCTCCCAGGTTTCTAGTGAAGAGAGTACAGTTGAGAGGTTGAATACACTTAGTAAAGGCATATTAGTCTTTCTTCAATAATTTTTTTAAAAGGATATTTAAGGGCCGGGCGCGGTGGCTCACGCCTGTAATCCCAGCACTTTGGGAGGCCGAGGCGGGTGTATCATGTCAAGAGATCGAGACCATCCTGGTCAACATGGTGAAACCCTGTCTCTACTGAAAATACAAAAACTTAGCTGGGCATGGTGGCGCATGCCTGTAATGCCAGCTACTCAGGAGGCTGAGGCAGAATTGCCTGAACCCAGGAGGCGGAGGTTGTGGTGAGCTGAGATCGCGCCATTGCACTCCAGCCTGGGTAACGAGCGAAACTCCATCTCAAAAAAAAAAAAAAAAAGATATTTAAAATCTCCAGTGGGACAAAAAGCTATATAACCAGGTTTGGGAGAGCATACAGATGCAAATTATTCATTAGGCTATTCTTCAATTGAATAGTAGGTTCAAAGATACACATTATATTACCAAGTTATAAAAGGTTAAGTGTTCATACTTATTCTTTTGTATATATCAAGTATTTTATTAAGTTGTTTCTTTCTTTCTTTCTTTTTTAAAGAGCTATAGGGGAAAAGTTGTACAAGAAAGTTGTGGTCCAAACATAAAGCAAAATAAAATGTGACATGGGCCAGGTGTGGTGGCTCACATCTGTAATCCCAGTGCTTTCGGAGGCTGAGGTGAGGATTGCTTGAGGTCACTTCGAGACTAGCCTGGGCAACAAAGAAAGACCTTGTCTCTACAAAAAATTAAAAATTAGCCAGGCATGATAGCACATGCCTATATCCCAGTTACTTGGATGGCGGAGGCAGGAAGATTGCTTGAGCCCAGGGCTTTAAGACTACAGTGAGCTACGATCATGCCACTGAAGCTACTCCAGTCTGGACAACGGAGAGACACCCTGACTCCCTGTGACACTCCCCGCAAAAGGAAAAAAGTAGCATGATTTTAAACCACTGAATGAATACAAAAATGGGAATATATTTTACCCTGACTCTGGATAAACACTCTTCCTAGTGACAGAGAGGTCCCGACACTGGATCAATAGAGAAGATAATATAATCCTGGCATACTACTTAACTTCCTCCTTACTGCAATACCAATTCCCAGAAATTACCACTGTTAAGTTTGAAGTGCATTCTAGACTGTCCTCCATTTATATGTAATCACATATAAATTTTTTAAACAAAAGTGGGACATGACTTTATTTACAGTGACTATTCTTCACACAATTTATTGAGGTGAGAATAAATATTATCATTATTAAGGAAGGGTACCAACATACATGGAGACAGACTATGGCAAGCAAAACAATGACTGGCATCCTAATTTTCCTCAGACTTAGCTTCTGATGCAAAAATGACAGTAGAAATACACTAACAACAACACGCCAAATGTCTCCTTGAAGAATGTCTTTCTTTTCTTTCTTTAATTCACAGTAGCATCAATATAGCATCATGGTACCATCTTCTAATAGTGCATCAGCATACACTAAGAATACATGCAGTTTCCATGCTAATACAACTTCATTGAAGGAAATCCTCTAGCAGAAACAGAAAGTTTTCTCCTCTCCAAAGACCCGTCCAATAATAATTTATGCTTGGGATATGTTTCTTGTTCTAAAATGTAATCTTATTCTAATCACTCCCTAACTCCTATCTAGCAAGACTATATTACTAGGCACTGCTACTTTCAAAGATTAAAGAAGAAACACACAGGTATATAAAAAGACATTAGTACTTATTCTACTAATCTCAAAAACCCCAAATCCATTCTGCATGTACAATGATGTTTAATCTCAACCACAAAGATAATGTCTTAATCTATCATTGTCTCTGGGTGCACTAATTTTAAATTCTTTCTGTTGTTTTTTTTCTAAACTTGTGATGCACATGTAATTACATCATAGAAATATCTAGAATCAATGATCATTATTAGAAATACATAATTTTATATTTTTAAGACAAGAAAAAAGACACCAATGGTTATTTGGATTTTAAGATATAAATCATGTATCTGCAAATAAGATTGTTTTCCTCTTAAACATAACTATATCCTATTTCCTCTTAAACATAACTATAAGTATTAAAACTAATACTTTAATTTGGTACCTGGTAGCAAGGAAGGGACACTGCTGCATTCTTAATACACACCTTCAAGTTACTGTGCAAAATTTTGAAAACACTGTTATGTCCCAGTAGGTTAGTTAAGAAAGAGATTGGCAGAAATACTTTGATAAAGAAAGTCATTACTTACCAAAACCTCAAAAAGAAGTGCTAGTAATTTATTGTTAGCCATGAAGTTACTGTCCAAAACTCCCAAGTTAAACCAACTTCCCAAACAGCGAAAAACTTTCATAAGCATTTTCTCATCTGTTCCTGCTTTTTCCACACAGGTCATCTGAATAGAAAAAAAAACTTTAAATGAATAATGTTAATCTATATATTTAAACCATTATTACAATCACTTTACAAGAATAATAATGCGAAGGATGACAATAAAAAAAGCCAACGGTTGGTTAAAAGTGCTTTTTAAGTGTCACTGTTCTTTTTTTTCCTTTTAAGAGAGGGTCTTGATATATTGCCCAAGTGGGACTACAAGCATGTGCCACTGCATCCAGCTAGGTACCACTATTCTAAATACCACTAATCTACTTAATCCCTAAAATGGTTTGCTTCTGTGTCCCCACCCAAATCTCATGTCGAATTGTAATCCCCAGTGCTGGAGGAGGGGCCTGGTGAGAGGTGACTGAATCATGGGAATGAACATTCCCCTTGCTGTTCTTGTGATAGAGGTCTCATGAGATCCAGCTGTTTGAAAGTGTGTAGCACCTCTCCCTCCTCTCTCTCTCTCCTGCCAGCCACGTAAAGATGTGCCTGCTTCCCCTTCACCTTCCACCATGATTAAGTTTCCTAAGGCCTGAGCAGAAGCCTGTACAGCCCACAGAACCGTGAGCTGATTAAACCTCTTTTTTTTAATAAATTACCCAGTTTCAGGTACTTCTTTATAGCAGTGTGAGACTGGACTAACATAATTCCCAAATAAAACTTTATAGGTAGTTACTATTGTCTCTACTTTCTCAATGGGAAAACAGGTCAGGAGAGGTTACAAACCTACCCAAGTTGTTTCAGAAATAACTTACTGATTTCTTAGTCCCCACTTCTCCATTAAAGTTGTATTATCCAAAATATTATTTTACAAGTAATATTTACTTATGTATATACCTGGTGGTCATAGAATAGATAATAAGCTAGAGTAAGCTAGGCATACTACTGTATATTTCCACAAGAAAAGCTAATGTTTCAGCTTTGGCAATAGAATAGTAAACATCTCATCCCACAGAAAGTGACACTACTACGAATACTATAAAAGATAAAACAGAATTAGACTAAAACTCAGTGTTTCTCCTTGTAGACTGTTCTCCCAGTTCAAAGCTTCACCTACTACATAATCTACATTGAAGATGACTGTCTTTAGTATTGTTCTCCAAAGACTGCTAGGTTGCTAAGACGAAGAGAAGCAAGGGGTTAATGAATGACTGTATACCAGCTCATTCTCATAGAACTATCAAGCTATTAGCTATTTAAGATATTCAGGTCTGGAAGTTACCTTTCCTTCTCAGAAGACAGAAGAAAGGAAGTCCAAGTATATGAATATACCAGACTCTTCCTATTTCTTCTCTCTTCCAGGCCATTACATTTCAGAGGCAAGAAGAAAAGTACATAACAAATAAGCTGACCAGTCATTGCAACATTTACTGAGCCCTTTCTGTGCAGCAGGCACTGTTGTAAGAGCTTCACATGTATTAACTCATTTAACCCCCACAATATGAAACAGATACTATTATCCTCATTATACTGATGAGAAAACTGAGGCAGACAGGTCAAGTAAGTTGCCCAATATGGTACAGTTAGTAAATAACATAGCCAGGACTTAAACTTAGGAAGTCCAGCTTCAAAGTCTATGATCTTAACCACTACACCACAGCTACCTCCCAAATTTCTCTACTTGCTTATATATACAGAACAAAGATATGATTAATATATCAAGGACTTCCTATATTTCAAAAGCCTCTAAAGGCAGGCAGATTGTAACAATAATCTTACTGATATTACACATCATTATCAGTATAACTAATTGTATACTATTTTACCTGGATAATGATTAGTGTATTACCAAAGAATGCCAGGAAATCTTAACAGCATGGAAACAGAATCATCTATTGCATATCAACCAACTATTTTACTGGTTTTAAGCATGTCAGTTTGACGTATACATAATTTTTAATGAATAACATCAGAGCCTGATTGTTTATTTTTAAAAACTAAATGCAGACTCACTTCCACTCATTTTTATTTATTGTGTGTATTACATTATATATGCTTGATGGAAAAAGGTGGAGTTGCAGCTAACTTGCAGAGAAATTAACCACATAACTACGAATATATATGTAAGTTTATGTCTAGGATATAAGTGACTTTTGAGGCTTCTGTCACTGTCTAAAGCCACAAGAGGCACGGAGTAAATATCCAAGTATCTATAGGAGGAAGAACGGCAGGAAAGCAAAGGACCGAGAGCCCTTGCTTTAGGGGAAAGTTCTTGTAAAAAGTCATCAGAAGCCATGCATGGTGGCTCATGCTTGTAATCCCAGCACTTTGGGAGGCTGAGATAGGAGGATTGCTTGAGCCCAGGAGTTGTAGACTAACCTGAGCAACAAAGCAAGATCCTGTCTCTACAAAAAAGTTTTAAAATAACATTTTTAAAAGTCACCAGAAAACACACTAGATAAGAAAATGTCACAAATACAGTTCTATCCCCATCAAGTTCTTCTAGTTATTCTTTACCTCAAGACTTTCTTTGTTCCCCTGAAACTCAGAGACAAAATACTCAAGAGATCCCAGGCAGTTGCCTAGAATCACTAAAATGCCCAGAATTTTTAGAAAGGATTATGACAGTAATATATGCAATATATTTAAATATGTAATACATAAACTCATAAATGCACCAGAGCACTTAATTTAATACTGTTCAAGGCTGAAAACAGCAAAATGTACAGAGTAACTAAGTTCCCTTAACATGAACTGGAGCCACTGAGAGTTCTCTTTAATGCTGATACTTATTCTCTCTCCCCCTCGACCTCTCTCAAACTCTCAACTGAATCTTTGAAGCTGTTGATATAAGCTCATTACGTAATTGCTTGGCCTTTATACTTCCTAAACATTTCAATTTTAATAAGGCATGATGTTTACAAGAGGAAAGATTTGCTTGTACATTCTAACTACTGACTCAAACTAAAGGATGGAATTCTGGAAAAAAAAAAACCTGTATGTAAAACTAATCTCTTTGAAAATATGAAATTCTGCAAATTAATCAAATGTACATTTTAAAGCATCAGAACTAAGAGCTACCTTCTTTTCCTCTTTGAGAACTATGCTACGTTAAAAATATGTCTCTTCAAGTAAGGCCTTAAAAGCTTCACGATAAATGCCACAGAGTCCAGAAAAGCTCACCAGTAAAAAGATGGCAGGGATAAGTAAGAATTGAGATCTTAAATCAACAAAATAGAAGATAGAGAGACAAAAATATTAGAAGCACAGGTTCCGTTCAGTTATGAGAGCAAGGAGAGAGGTTTAAAACTTCAAAAAGTTCAATACTATGTTTAGGAATGGGTCCATAAGGACAGACCACAAAAGTATAATACTAGCAAGAAATAGGACAGAATGTAACCACTAAAGGAGAGTGTGCGGAAACTAAATGAGAAAAGGTCTTAAGAGGGGTTGATACCTGGCATTACAGCCACATGCCTATTTTTTCTTGGCCATTTTGGACTAATTTCATCCCCTAGGTTCTAGAACATGACAAGCTGCAAGACCTTTTTAAGCACCACAGGAAACATATTTTTCAGACTGTATCACCAATAGTCAAAATATCACCTGGATTGATTGTGATGATGTGCTAAGTTAAGCACGTGCCTTGAATGCCCAAGTGGCTGCTGTGGCAGTAGCCATGACACAAAATACAGGTGGGTTAGATTACGTTAAGTTCACAAGTGCTTACAAAACGAAAATGACAAACTCAAATTCATTAACTCTCAACTCAAGCCATAGTCTGAGCACCAGAACCTTCAAGCCAGATCTAAAAGTAGCTCCTACTTTGTGTAGCTATAAGGTTAGTACTGCTGGAACTTGTATACAAAACTTAGTTGTGTGTCTTGATGAATTACAAACACCAGTTGAATTTACAGTCTCTCCATACTTCCTGTGAAAGTTAGGAAACTGACTGGTAAAGTATGGGATTCTGAAACTTGAAAAGGAGACAACTGGTTGGACCTAAATGAACATGAGTCCATCACACTTCAAAAAGACAGAGGCAGGAAAAAAAATTAACATTCAAGGCAGCTTTAAAATAAACCCTCATTTTGAAAAGAATTAAGATTTAGCCTACCTTTCTAGTAGGAGCCCATAAGAATGCCAACTAATATATATGTACAAGGAATGAAAGAAATAGTCAAATATCATTTTTCAAACCATGATTGTTTTTAGAGGAAGGGTCTTGTTCTGTTGCCCACACCAGAGTACACTGGCACAATCATGGCTCAATGCCACCCTGAACTCCTGGGCTCAAGTGATTCCTCTTGCCTCAGCCTCTCGAGTATCTGGGACTACATGCATGTGCCATCATGCTTGGTTAATTTTTTTTTTTTTTTTTTTTGAGTCAGGGTCTTGCTATGTTGCCCAGGCTGATCTTGAATGCCCGACTTCAAGCAACCCTCCCACCTCAGCCTTCCAACATGCTGGAATTACAGTCATAAACCACATTGCCTAGCCCATAATGAAATTATTGATTAAGGTAAGGATTATCTACTGGAATGTAAAACAGTTAGGCTAAAGTCTGATAGGGAATTGAACATTCATGAAATAACAAGCTACCATCACACAAACTATATTATATTACAAAGGAGGAAAGTGAACTTTAAAAATGGAAGGATCAGACTTTCATTCTAATCCAGTGGTCAATCCTAGCATCACTAATAAAAAGTCAACTGGAGGCTGTATATCTACCAAGACACAGCATCAACTACCTATGATGTACTCTACACCAAAATGTTCAACTTTTAAAAACTAATTCATGGCCAGGCGTGATGGCTCATGCCTGTAATCCCAGCACTTTCAGAGGCCAAGGCAGGCGGATCATGAGGTCAGGAGGTCAAGACCAGCCTGGCCAACATAGTGAAACCCCATCTCTACTAAAAATACAAAAATTAGCCAGGCATGTTGGTACGTGCCTGTAGTCCCAACTACTCAGGAGGCTGAGGCAGGAGAATTGCTTGAACCCAGGAGGTGGACGTTGCAGAAGGCCGAGATCATGCCATTGCACTCCAACTTGGGCAACAGAGTGAGACTTCATCTCAAAAAAAAAAAAAACCAAAAACTAATCCACCAAACCTCTCTGTTTTTCTAAATCAGGATTCTAGGAAAGAATTAAATCCCATAGGCTGGGTGTAGTGGTTCACGTTTGTGATCCCATCATTTGGGGAGGCCAAGGAGGGAGAATCACTTGAGACCAGGTTTGAGACCAGTCTGGGCAACATAGAGAGGCTCTATATCTACAAAAAGTTTATTGTATAAGAATTAAGCCCTACAGAAAATCATCTGAGTGCCTATCTTCTTAATTATCCTAAGGGTGGCATATAGCTAGAACCATTATTAATGTAGAGGAAAGAATTCATTACACATAACAGATGCTTTAGGATTAATTTTCTTGAGGAACCCCTACCGAGAAGGGCTTCTTTAGATACAACTTTCAATTAGAGGAAATACAGAGAAAAGAAAATCAAGCTAAATGAAACAAAGAAGAGGCAATCAGAAAATCATAAAGGTAAGATAATTCTATAAAATGACTGGTACAATCTCTTCAACAAGTCATTTAAACAAGGAAGAGGATGTGGGACTGTGACTAAGAACCTGATACAAGGCATCATTCTAGACTAGATATTTTTTGTAAAGAGTATTTCTTTCTTTCTTTCTTTCTTTGATATGGAGTCTTGTTCTGTCACGCAGGCTGGAGTGCAGTGGCGCAATATTGGCTCACTACAGCCTCCGCTTCCCAGGTACAAGCAATTCTCCTGCCTCAGCCTCCCGAGTAGCTGAGATTATAGGCATGTACCACCATGCCCAGCTAATTTTTATATTTTTAGTAGAAACAGAGTTTCTCCATGTTGGCCAGGCTGGTCTCGATCTCCTGACCTCGTGATCCGCCAGCTTTGGCCTCCCAAAGTGCTGGGATTACAGGTGTGAGCCACTGTGCCCGGCTTGTAAAGAATATCTTTGGACCAATTGGTGAAATGTGAATATGGTCTAGGTTTATGAGATGATACGAAAATTTACTAACATGAAAAGGTAAGCAGATGACTGAAAAAGCAAGATGTAGAAGAACAGGTAAAGTATAATCTCATTTGGGCTTAAAAAATCTCTATATATGTCCATAAAGAAATATGTTCATAGAGGATATGTATTAAAGGGTTAGCAGTATCATCTCCAGATGGCTTGAGTATAATTTGCTGTCCATAAATCTTCCATAATACTATTTCATTAAAATAAATGGCTAGGTGAAAAACACGTCTTTAACTTAAAAGAAGTATTTTCCAATTTTTTTTTCTTTTCTTTTCTTTTTTTTCAGACAGAGTCTCCCTTTGTCATCCAGGCTGGAGTGCAGTGGCATAATCTCAGCTCATTGCAACCTCCGCCTCCCAGGTTCGAGTGATTCTCCTGCCTCAGCCTGCCATTTAGCTGGGATTAGAGGAGACTGCCACTACATCCACCTAATTTTTGCATTTTTAGTAAAGATGGAGTTTCACCATGTTGGCCAGGCTGGTGTTGAACTCCTGACCTCAAGTAATCCGCCCGCCTCTGCCTCCCAAGTACTGGGATTACAGGTGTGAGCCACAGTACCCGGTCCTCCAGTGAATTTCTATTACAAAACTGAATGCAATTTTTAATAAATTTTTTTTTTTTTGGAGACAGAGTTTTGCTCTTGTTGCCTAGGCTGGAGTGCAATGGCATGATCTTGGCTCACCACAATCTCTGTCTCCCAGGTTCAAGCCATTCTCCTACCTCAGCCTCCCGAGTAGCTGGGATTACAGGCATGTGCCACCATGCCCAGCTAATTTTGTATTTTTAGTAGAGATGGGGTTTCATCCATGTTGGTCAGGCTGGTCTCGAACTCTCGACTTCACTTGATCAGCCCACCTTGGTCTCCCAAAATGCTGGGATTACAGGCATGAGCCACCTCCCCAAATCATGGGATAACAGGTGTGAGCCACCATGCCTGGCTATATATTTTTTTCAAACAAAAAGATCTATGATCGCACAGTACTGAAACACATCTCTGAAAAATAATTTATTACAGTTTAAGTATCCCTAATCCAAAACTCCAAAATGCTCGAAAATCCAAAACTTTTTGAGTGCCAAAATAATGCTCAAAGGAAATGCTCACTGGAGCATTTCAGATTAGGAATGCTGAACCAGTAAGTATAATGCAAATATTCCAAAATTTAAAAAACTCGGAAATGCTAAATACTACTTTTTTTGCCCTACCCTACACACTTCTGGTCCTAAGCCTTTCAGATAAGGATACTCAAGCTGTATACCCACATTATTATTGAGAAAATTAAGCTGGAAAGACCTAAAAATGAGATATTGCCTAATCAATTTATTACCATTTACTTTAGGAATCAGTAAACATTTTCTATAAAGAACCAGATAAATATTTTACACTTTGTAGGTCATATAGTCTCTGTGAAAAATACTCAACTATGCTGATGTATTCCAAAATAATGGAAAGACAAAATATAATCAGATAGGTATAACTGTGTTCCAACAAAGAGGCAGCCAACCCATAAACCATAGATTGACCTACTCCTGCTCTAGAGTATTAAAAATGCCAACTAATTGAAAGAAGCTTAACCACCTCTAATTCTTTCAAAAAGAATGTGTGTTAGCTCATCAATAATGCAATACTGCTCAAAGGTCAAGTAAAGTCTTCTATCACCTCCCCCTCAAAATTTCAGTTCATCTTTAAGAGAGGATCCTTTCTTTTATATTTTACAATATATAAAATTAAATCAAAATGTATTAAAGACTTAAATGTAAGATGTGAAACTATAAAACTACAACGATAAAACATTAGGGAAATACTGCAGGACACTGATCTGGGCAAAGATTTCTTAAGTAAGACCTCAAAATCAAAGGCAACCAAAGCAAAAAAAAGTCGACAAAGAGATTACATCAAGCTAAAAGGCTTCTGCACAGCAAAACAATTAACCAAGTGAAGAGACAACCTACTGAATAGGAGGAAATATTTGCAAACTACCCATCCAACAAGAGATTAATAACCAAAATATATAAGGAACCCAAACAACTCAATAGCCAAAAAAAAAAAAAAAAAAAAAAAAGATTAAGCAATGGGCAAAAGATCACTAGCAAATGCTGGCAAGGATGCAGAGAAAGGGGAATACGCATACACTATTAGTAGAAACGTAAAGTAGGATAGCCATTATGAAAAACAGTATGGAAGTTCCTCAAAAGACCGAAAATAGTACTACCATATGATCCAGCAATCTCACTGCTGAGTAAATACCCAGAAGAGAAATCAGTATATCAAGAAGATGTCTACAATCCCATGTTTTTGCAGCACTATTCACAAGAGCCAAGATATGGAATCAACCTAAGCACCTATCAATGGCTAAATAAAGAAACAATAATGGTATAGATACACAATATTAGCCACAAAAAGAATAAAATCCTGTCATTTGCAGCAACATGGATGGACCTGTTGGACATTATGTTAAGTGAAATAAGCCAGGCACAGAAAGACAAATATCACATGCTTTCCCTCCTATGTCGGAGTGAAAGAAAATGGATCTCATAGAGGTAAAGAGTAGAATGATGGTTATCAGAGGCTAGGAAGGGTAATGGGGAGGGAAGAATGAAGACTGATTAATGGGTACATAAATATAGCTGAATAGAAAGCATAAGTTACAGTGTTACACAGCACAATAGGGTGACTGTAGTTAATTTATTGAGTACTTCAAAATAGCTAAAAGATTTAGAATGCTCCCTACACAAAGAAAGGATAAAGGTTTGAGGTGATGGATATCTCAATTTGATCATCACCTGATTTGATCATCACACATTATATATTTGGATAAAAACAATACATGCAGTTGGGCACAGTGGCTCACAACTATAATCCCAGCACTTTGGGAGGCCAAGGTAGGCAGATCACTTGAGGTCAAGAGTTTGAAACCAGCCTCAGCAACATGGTGAGACACCTGTAGTCCCTGCTACTCAGGAGCCTCAGGTGAGAAGATCACTTGAGCCCAGGAGGCAGAGGTTGCAGTGAGCTGAGATCATGCTACTGCACTCCAGCATGGGAGACAGACCCTGTTTCAAAAAATAAAAGTAACACATGTAACCCCATAAATAGGTACAACTATCATGCATCAGTTAGAAAAAAAAAAGAAAGGATCCTTTCTTAGTAAAATAGGTTTACACACACTTCCCTCTGCATGATCCTTTATTAATGGCCAACAGTTTAGAGCATTAAGCAGAAGTGCACAAGATACATAATGAGATGGCCTTAGTTCATTTTTCATTAATAAAACAGATGTCAACTTTAGAGGATTATACAAAAGCTTAAAAAGCATGGTTTTTGAAAATATATTGTAATGGTAAGGTATTACATAAATGCCAAAGCATCATCGTTAAATTTTGTGAAGAAAGCTATTTCACAATAATGCAATTGGATAACACAATATCCACCACGGCTTTCTGCCTTTACGAAGCAACTTAGTATTTCAAATTTACTTACCAATAGAGATACTACTGTACTAGAGTAGAAGGCTAAATCTTCTATGATTTCTGTGCGCCGGTTAGCTCCAATTCGTAAGGAACGACTATGTACTTCTTCAGGTAGCACTGTAAGGATCTCCAGCAAAAAAGGCAAAGAAGTCACATCATTGCTGTATCTGCAAAAGAAAAAAGGGAGATATGTTATTTAGCCAAGAAATACACAATCACATAAGATAACAGCCAGGAGAGTAACTCACAACAACAAAAGCAGCATTCCTACCACTGTTCGGGGGGAGAAAAAAAGATATAAACATAAATGCTCTCCATAATTAGTTAAGATTAAAAAAAGACATAGTTATTCAATGAAACATAGCCATTATAACGAAAGTGATATCTATATGTCCTACCATGAAAAATGTCCACAATGTAGTAAGTAAAAAACATGTATGAAAAAAAAAAGAAAATAAACATGTATGAAACATACTGAATATGGCTGAACAAATACATAGGTATATGTACATTCAAATATACATGTACTTATTTATTTTAAAATACATCAAGAAAACTCTACATAGCCAACTGTTAACAGTGGTTGCTTATAAAATACAGGATTAAGGGCCAGGTGTGGTGGCTCATGCCTATAATTCCAGCACTCTGGGAGGCCAAGGCAGGAAGATCACTTGAGCCCACAAGCTGGAGACCAGCCTGGCCATCACAGGGAGACCATCTCTACATTAAAATTTTTTAAATTAGTCAGGCATGGTGGTGCGCATCTGAAATCCCAGCTACTTGGGAGACTGAAGCAGAAGGATCTCATGAGTCCAAGAGGTGGAGGTTCCAGTGAACCATGATCACACCACTGCACTTCAACATGGGTGACAAAGCGAGACCCTGTTTCAAAAATAAAATAAAATATAAGGATAGGGAGAGAGGATGGGGTTCATTTTGCATTTTGAAGGCTTCCATACTGTTAGAATTTTTTCAAGGAGCATGTGTGAATTTCCCCAGTAAAAATTTTCTTTAAAAAATAAACTATTTACTCAGGAGGCTGAGGCAGGAGGATCACTTGAGCCCAGGAGGTCAAGGCTGAGGCTGCAATGAGCCATGACTGTGCCACTGCACTCCAGCCTGGGTGACACAGCAAGACTGTGTCTCCAAAAATATAAAAAAAAAATTTTTTTTAAGTTATCTAGGCTGGGGGAGGTGGCTCAAGTCTGTAATCCCAGCACTTTGGGAGGCCAAGGCGGGTAGATCACTTGAAGTCAAGAGTTTGAGACCAGTCTGGCCAATGTGGTGAAACCCCACCTCTACTGAAAAAATAAAAATTAGCCAGGCATGGTGGCACATGCGTGTAATCCCAGCTAATCAGGAGACTGGGACAGAAGAATCGCTTAAACCCAGGAGGCAGAGGCTGCAGTGAGCTGAGATCATGACATTGCACTCCAGCCTGGGTGACAAGAGCAAAACTCCATCTCAAAAAAAATAAAATAAAATAAAAAAATAATAAGTAATCCATAAAAAGGCTTTAATGACACACTACATTGGAGGTAAAAAGTACATCTACTTTGTTTAAAAATAACTTCCCAACCAAATGCAAGCAAATATCAAGGTTATCTTGCCAGGACCCCCCAGAAAAAAAATGCTTTTTCAAAGTAGCGAGCTCTGTGTTCTAAAAAGAATATTGTCCCTCTGATAGACATGAAACAAACCCCAATTAGTAAGAACATATATTCATAACCTCGCATTTAATATAATCTTAAATTCTACACTATTTTTACAAAATGTCTACATTGCCAGTTAGTGAGAGTGATCCAGAAGGCAATAAAAGACTTTACTGCAATTTATTTAAGAAGTGTGGGTTACATAAATTACTAGAGACTTTTACAGCCCACATGATATATTTCGGTAGTATTTAAAATTTTAGATAAGTTTCACTTAATCTAACAAAGGTTAATAACATAAGTCTATGTTAAGAGTTCAGGGAAATAGTCAAATATCTAACTATTTCTAATTTTTCTCTGTGAGGGTTAATGGCAACTCCAAACGCTAACATACAGTCAATACAAATTACTTACTTTTCCACCAATGTTTGCACACATCCCTTCCAGGAAGGCATCTGTAGGGCAAGATCTGCTATTGCTAAAGCCAGCTAATAAGAGGGATTAAATAAATGAAGACAGATGAACAGAAACAGGGTTACAATAAATATTCATTGGGAAGCAAAGAAACTACATTTCTTCCAAACAATATGATAACTAAGACTAACTCCCCCTCCCCCAATTGCTCCCAACTTCCAACTATATATACCTGGTGTAAACTGTTCTGGGTTAGCTATAAATTGCTGAAATTTAAGAGTTAACCTTTAAAAATTAAAAACAAAAAAAGAAGTCAGAAACAACAGATTACAGACGTTCCTCAAAATATATCAACATTTACTTTTATTTGGCAATACCACAGAACTCCACAGATATATAAATTATACTTTGCGAAGGTCAAAGCTACTAACAAACTCAGACCTTTGACTCAGTTCTCAAGCAATGGATTGCCATTTCCCTTCTCTTTCCATTTCTCATCTTGAAGACTTAAGCAAAAAACTCTTCTTCAAGGGCACTTCTATGACAGGCAGAAAACACATTCGAGTAGGTACTCACAGAAGCTTCCAGTTTTCCTATCTAATGTATTTTCCTATCTAAGGGAGAAAGGACAGATGCTCTAGTTCAACCTTTCATTCATGAGACCTTTACTAAAGCCAATCAGCCCGGAAAGAATTTCTGTAAAGGCAACTATCTAAACTCCTGACCTAGCATGCCTGTGAAAACACATACTCACCTTATCCGTTTCTGGTATTAAGTTAGTCTGAAATCAAATGAACTCTGAGATTAATACAAAAGATTAAAAATTTCATTTTTCTATCCACTTACAAGAATATAGCAGGCATCTATAATGAAATTAACATTACCTCACATGGCCTAGCAATACCAATTAAAATAATCTTGATAAATCCAAATGGCCATACGAATTTCTCTAACGAGAAGCACAGGATTTACCTGCGTTACAATGACAGGTGACAAGTCTTTCAAGTTCTGGATATGGGTTAGCAATGAGTCCCGTAAAGAGGCATGAGAGTCTGTGGGGAGCTCATAAAATGAGGTCTGAATCTTCATTTTCATGGTCTGTGCAGCAAAATAGCATGATTCCACATCCTGTCGGATCTGTAACAACTGGTCTGAGATCTCCCATGCATGAACCTGAAAGTGTATTAGATAAAGATGTCTTAAAGAAGACCACTTTTCTAATTTTAGTGCCATATAACCTCAATACTTATATAAACATATTTAGACCAAAGTATAACAAAAGAAAAATCTGAAAAGCTATATTACCCAGTGATTACCTAAAATCTGACTCACTCTAGGAAGGCATGAGAGCTATCAATTAAATTAATAGATATAATCTTGTTGATTTGAGTGACTGTGTGGGTATGGAGAGTATGAAGAAAAATGTCCCAAAAGTCTCCACTAAACTATAATGTTGCTGTAGAATTTTCAACCCTAATCTATGGTTGGATGTTTCTTCTCTTTTCTTGCTTAAAATAAAGCTTTGTTCACTCTAAGAATTGAATCCAGAAGCTTTTTAAATATATCTATGAATATGAGAATATATTTCATGTTGGTCTCAGTAGCCCTACATTTAAATTATTAGTTCCTTATAAAATAGCAGAGGCCGGGCGCAGTGGCTCAAGCCTGTAATCCCAGCACTTTGGGAGGCCGAGGCGGGTGGATCACGAGGTCAAGCGATCGAGACCATCCTGGTCAAAATGGTGAAAACCTGACTCTACTAAAGACACAAAAAATTAGCTGGGCATGGTGGCGCGTACCTGTAATCCCAGCTACTCAGGAGGCTGAGGCAGGAGAATTGCCTGAACCCAGGAGGCGGAGGTTGCAATGAGCCGAGATCGCGCCATTGCACTCCAGCCTGGGTAACAAAAGCGAAACTCCGTCTCAAAAAAAATAAAATAAAATAGCAGAAAAACTATCTTGGCACAAATAAATATTTCACATCCTTCAATTTATTTATTTATTTTTGGAAACAGTCTCGCTCTGTCGCCCAAGCTGGTGTGCAGTGAGTGGCATGATCACGGCTCACTGCAACCTCTGCCTCCCAGGTTCAAGTAATGATCCTGCCTCAGCTTTCTGACTAGCTGGGATCACAGGTGTGCACCACCACACCCAGCTAATATTTGCATTTTTAGTAGAGACAAGGTTTCACCATGTTGTCAAAGCTGGTCTTGAACTCCTGACCTCAGGTGATCCTCCTGCCTCAGCCTCCCAAAGTGCTGGGAGTACAGGCATGAGCCACTGCACCCAGCCCCTTCAATTATTTTCTGATGTATTTCTACTTGGCAAAGTGCTACACATGCTACTGAAATCATTTTCAAAGGAAAAATAAACTTATCTACAGACATAATAAAGAGAACCAAAGTATAATATCTGGTCTCTAGTAGCTAACCACAATTATAAAGGGGAGTCACATTTTGAAGATAACTTTGGAAACAAAATATGCAGTAGTTTGTAGACAACTCATTAATTCGATTAATTCTAATCCAATTCTGCACTAAACAGCCTTGGGAGAACACTAACGTGGACTGGCAATAATTAGAATCTAACAAATAGTGTCTAGTGCAATATATAATCCTTGCGTATCCTTCAAGATCTTTCCAAAGATAGATATGCAGCAAGTTAAGATATAGACGGCAGAATAAAAGGCTTGTACAAATTCTTAAAGTCAATAGAAAATAAAGACCCTGAATTTCCTAATTACAGATTTACTGACATAAAACTTAGCTTTAGGCTGGGCATGTGGCTCACACCTATAATCCCAGCACTTTGCTGGAGGCTAAAGTAGAAGATCATTTGAGCCCAGAAGTTTGAGACCGGCCTGGGCAACATGGCAAGATCCCCGTGCCTCTACAAAAAATTAAAAAATTAGATGGGGACCAGCATGATGGCTCATGCCTGTAATCTCAGCACTTTGGGAGACCATTCCAGCTAACACAGTAAAATCCCATCTCTACTAAAAATACAAAAAAATTAGCCGGGCATGGTGGTACACGCTTGAGGTCCCAGCTACTCAGGAGGCTGAGGCAGAAGAATTGCTTGAACCCAGGAGGCAGAAGTTGCAGTGAGCTGGGATCGTGCCACTGCACCCCAGCCTGGGCAACAGAGTAAGACTTTGTCTAAAACAAACAAACAAACAAACAAACAAACAAAAAAACCAGCTAGACTCTCAAATACAAAGTGTGAGACTGCCCACCCAAGCCACTAAGTATAAAACCATAAAGAAACACAAAGGATTACTATAAAAGGACAGTGGTTAGTTACCTTTATGGGGAGGGAAGCAGTTATGTCAAATGGTACAAGAAAAGCTTCCAGAGTGGAATGGCCAGTAAAGTTCTAGATCCTTCCTTTTCTTTTTTCATAAAAATGGGACAAGGTCTCACTATGTTATCCAGGCTGGTCTCAAATTTCTGGGCTCAAGCAATCCTCTTGCCTTAGTTTCCCAAAGTGCCAGGATTACAGGTGTGAAGGACTGTGCTCAAAGTTCTATTTCTTGACTTGGGGGGTAATTAAAAGGACATCTGCATATAGTAATTCACTAAGCAATAGATTTGCATTGTTTGTGTTTACATTTAGAAAACAAAACAGAAACCAGGCGCAGTGGCTCAGGTCTGTAATCCCAGCACTTTGGGAGGCCAAGGCAGGTGGATCACAAGGTCAGGAGTTCCACACCAGTCTGACCAACATGGTGAAACCCCATCTTTACTAAAAATACAAAGATGTGCCGAGAGTGGTAGCGCACGCCTATAATCTCAGCTACTCGGGAGGTTGAGCCAGGAGAACTGCTTGAGCCCGGAGGCAGAGGTTGTAGTGAGCCAAGAGTGCACCACTGAACTCCAGCCTGGGTGACAGAGCGAGACTCTATCTCAAACAAACAAACAAAATCTTTTTCCCAACTGAAATCTACCCATCAACCCAACAGGGTCAAGACCCTTTGGGAAAAAATTGTTTGCACAGTGCCATGCTGTGCAAAAATTAAATGGCAGAAACTAGCAGAAAACACCAACCATTCTCAATTATCTGTATTTCTGACTTTAAACATTTCTACCTCCTTTAAAAGTAAAGACCTCAAAAATGAAGGGCAGAATCAAAAATAAAACAATTACTTGCCCCTGGGCAAACCAGTAATCTTAGCAGTAGAGATGCAAAACTGATTAACTTAGTTGGTAGGGATGTAAAGGAGATTTATTTTTCAAGCACCTTTGATGATGTTTGCCTTTTTTTTTTTTTGGGACAGAGTTTCACTCTTCTTGGCTAAGCTGGAGTGTAACAGCATGATTTCAGCTCACTGCAACCTCCGCCTCCCAGGTTCAAGCGATTCACCTGCCTCAGCCTCCCAAGTAGCTAGGATTACAGGCACCACGCCTGGCTAATTTTTATATTTTTAGTAGAGAATGGGTTTCACATGTTAGCTAGGCTGGTATCAAACTCCTGACCTCAGGTCCGCCTCGGCCTCCCAAAGTGCTGGGAGTACAAGCATGAGCCACTGTGCCTGGCTGGTGTTTGAAAACTTTTTAAGTGTCTTTTTTTTTTTTTTTTTTTAACTTGTACATTTAAACCTGTACAAACTCATACATGCCCTTCCTGAGGTAAGAATACTTGACTGAAAACTGTGGTGCATAGGAATAAGATTTTTTTTTTAATTGCATTTTAGGTTTTGGGGTACATGTGAAGAACATGCAAGATAGTTGCATAGGTACACACATGGCAGTGTGATTTGCTGCCTTCCTCCCCTTCACCTATATCTGGCATTTCTCCCCATGCTATCTCTCCCCAACTCCCCACCCCCCCGCCATCCCTCCCCTATTCCCCCCAACAGAACCCAGTTTAAGTGTCTTTTGTAATTACCTTTTTATTAAAAATAACTTGTACTTTACGTACAATTTTTTAAAAAGTGGTGCAGATCTTATAAGGTTTGTTTTTGACAGGGCCTCTCTCTGTCACTCAGGCTGAAGGGCAGTGGTGCCATCACAGCTCACTGTAGCCTTGAATTCTTGGGCTCAAGTGACCTGCCCACCTCAGCCTCCCACATAGCTGGGACTACAGGCATACATCATGGCACTCAGCTTTTTTTTTTTCTTTGTAGAGACAGGTCTCGCTATATTGCGTGGGTTAGTCTCAAACTCCTGGGCTTGCCTGCCTCAGCCTCCCAAAGTGCTAGGATTACAAGCACGAACAATCACACCCAGCCTGTAAGATTTTTTTCTGTAAAAATTTTTTAGAAAAGGTAGCAAAGCTTTTTAACACACAGGAGTTAGTTTCATGTCTGTATGCTCCCTATGCTCCCTAAACAACAATGCTATCTCTCTCATAACATTTATCAGCCATTTCAACTTTGGTTAAAACAGACTAGCTGGTATTATACCAATTCTCTAGCCAAAAACTCTTAAGAAAATATTCACTAAGACCAGGCTGAGGCAGGCAGATCACTTGGGGTCAGGAGTTTGAGACCAGCCTGGCCAATATGGCTAAACCTATTTCTACTAAAAATACAAAAATTAGCCAGGTGTGGTGGTGTGCACCTGTAATCCCAGCTAGAGGGAGGCTAAGAGGCCGAGGCAGGAGAATCGCTTGAACCCAGGAGGCGGATGTTGCGGTGAGTCAAGATCTTGCCATCGCACTCCGGCCTGGGCAACGGAGCAAGACTCTGTCTCAAAAAAAACAAAAAAAGATTCATTAAATACCCCCTACAATGAGCCTTTTTAAAGACACCAAAGCTACTAAGACAACTAAAGTATGAGGCCACAGATCCCAGACAGAAGGGAATGGAAGAGCAGCAAATTCAGTTCACTCTTTGGCTCCACTTTTCCCCTCACAGCATTTGCCAATTTGAAAGTGGAAGACAAGAGGCTAAGAAGCTGAAGAGCTCTGGACAGCTTCACAAGACTGGGGAAATAAAAACTGAATTTCAAAGCATACTGAAGAGGAGCCCTGGTAAACACTCCAAACTCTGAGTTGGGACTGAGTGAAGGAAACAAGAAATACACCACTCCTTAAAAAGACTGATATGTTAGGCCACAAAATAAGTCTTAATTTTCAAAGACTGAAATCATACAAAATATCTTTTCTGACCACAATTAAATAAAACTACGAGTCAACAGGTAAAGGGAAACTAGAAATTTCACAAATATATG